AAAACTTGGCTTTGTCTTGATTTTTGCCGCCCTCAGAGTGCAGTAGGGGCAAAACTTCAAAGTATTGCTCTTGTCAACCCTTCAACAAAAGTAGACTTTCAAATGCTGCATACGCTTAGTCATTCTGACTTCAATGCTCTCCTTTTTTTTCCCCTGCTCCGTTGGTGAACCAGTGGGACATGGACTAATTATACTTTTCAGGGACAGTGGACAATGATTATGGATTGTTGGATATGTTCCACTGTTTCTAGGGGCTTCCACATAACTCGAATGTTTACTCTTGGCTCCAGCTTGTCAGGCTCTTCTCTAAGCAGAGCATTTTGTTTGATAGAGCTGTGGTTATCAAAAGGAGGAGTATAGCAAAGCTTTTGGCAAATAAACAGCGCTTTTGAGCAAAGGCTTATTTGTGCTGCTGTTGCAGAAAGAACAATATTAATATTAAATGGCTGAACCACAGTATTCCCAAGGAGATGGTGCAATGTAGAAGGATTTCAGAAAGCCATAGATATTTTAGGCCCGATACCTTAATAGTATTGTGTGTAATTGTGTGGTGAGTTGGGATGATGCTTCATATATTATCTGTAAAAGCAAAAGAATGAGTAATTCTGTTAAAATGGGGCTGAAGATGTGTCACAACTTGAGCAGTAGCATTTTCTCAATGAGGTCTGCAAGTGTGATTTATATGTGGAGCCATTAGAGGGGTGGTTTGAAATACATGCTCCTTGGAATATCAAATTCAAATTTCTCAAAACATATGTTTTCAAAATAACCAAAGATTGAAAACAGTTACTTCCTTGGATTCTTTTTCAGATAGTGAATTTGTGTTAAATAGGAATGCTTGCTTAAGGCTTGGGTTTGTGCAGGTTTACATTTCCTTTAATGCCTTTTTGCAGTTCCTCCCTGCTCCAATGCCCTGCAAGAGTGAGCACATGCTGTGGATAAGTGTTCTGAATAACTGTGGCAGTAACTGTGCTGTTCAGGTGTCCTGCCTGGGCAGCTGTCGGGCCAGACAGAACATAGCACTGAAGCTTACAATGAAGTGTTGGCAACTAAAATCTGACCTTTCTATACTTGTGCTATTTTTTTTTTTCTGTTGTTGTAATGAATCTTTTGGTATCCGTCCAGTTCAGATGGTGAATTAGTGGGGTGTAATCAGGGTACCAAAGGTATAAATGGTGAGTAATTGTTCCCCACCATAAATAGCAAGTTGTATGGCATAAGTTTCCCTGGTATTTATCACAACAGTAACTTTTGAATAGCTTTGAAAGAAATAGTGTGATGGCCTGATCAATAAAAACAAAGCAAAAATAAAAATTTCTCACAGCAAACCTTTTTCTTTGCATGATACTCAGAAGTGCAGGTGACTTCAAGAAAACACAATTTCACATCATTGTGTTTGTGAAAACACAATTACATGATGCGAGTTCTGTCTCTGACAACAATATTTTTTAAATTTTATTTTGCAATTTTTATTTCATCCTGTAGTACTGCACAGCTCTCTGCCATTTGTGTTTTTTTATATGGCAGAAAATTGTGTTTTGTGGATCACTTGAAGCATAATCAATGCAGTGTTGTGGATCCCTGTCAAGTCAGATGATAGTAGCAGAAGTATAACTAGACAGAGCACACAGGTCACCAGCAAGCAGGGGAAGACAACGGGCCTTTTATTGGGCTTTGAATGCCTGCTTGGAACAACTGCTGATGTTCGAATTCAAAGCATTGTGTGCTACTTCAGACAGAAATATGTGCCTTTTCATGATTTCTGGTGTGCTTCTAAAGCTTTATATAAAATATGGCTTTCTGAAGGACTTAAGCAGAATTGTGTAGGTTGGAGAAAACCTTTAAGATCATCAAGCCCAGCTGTAGTAGGAAGACAAAACAGCCTTTTTTGGCATAAGCATGGTCTGAAGTGCCCTTATGAGGATGTCATTTACCCTTCATATTCCAGTCATGTTGTACACCCACTTAGTCGTGTGGTTCCTTTCCATCATTCCCACTATCCAAATCCAAACAACTCTTACCTCTTGTGGGTGTCTGGATTTGGTTTAAGATTTCTTCCTATTTAAGAATTTTTAAGAAATTATGCTTTCTCTTCAGATAAAGAAACCTAGGTGAAATTTAATTTGCATCCTGGTTTGGTAAATTTGTACAGCTCCTGCAGTCAGACTCTGGTACAAGGAGAGTGTCTTGCTGAGGTGTGTGTGACTAAGTATGTTCTTTGGCTTGGTGGTTGTCCATTAGTAAAACTGGTAGTAATACTGCTTGCCCATTTAGTAAAACTGTTCTCTGTGCTACCAGCAACAGAAGAACACCAAGTGCCTGGCAGTTTGTTTAAATTAATTACAGTAGTGACTTAAGGCATATTTCACTTGTTACTTCCTTTTGTGGTTAGGTATTTAGAAGGAATTAGTTGCTCCAGGACACACTTTTGGAAGCCTCCTTTCTGAAGGTTTTCAGAAATTGCAATGCAGTGGCAAGAACTGATGCCTTTAAGAAGCTTGCATCATTTTAAACTAACAGGTGTTTCTTCAGCACAGTCCTCCTCCATTCCTGTTTGCATATTCCGAGAACTGTATCTGCTATAGCTCTGTAGCTGGTACTGCTCTAAAGTCACACAGCACCTTGTTTTCTGAGTCCTCACAGAAATCACCTGCAATGGTAATGATGGAGCTGTGGTGGGGTTTTTTGGTTTGGATTGTTTGTTGTTGGGGGTTTTCTTTCGTTTGTTTTGGGGATTTTTTGTTTTGTTTTCTTTCCCCCTCACACCAAATGCTTAGGCACTTCAGGGTGAAAATGAAGCAGAAAACTGGGAGGGAGAAACATGAAAAACTGGGTTGTAGTTTGTTGCTGTGAGTTGATCTCCTTCAGGTAATTGGTAATTATGATGAGTTTCTTTGATCTAACTTGTTTTGGGTGGCAGGAGAAGGAGGAGTAATTGGATGGTCTGATATGGGTGGGGAAGAGGCCCTCCTCTGTCATTTGCCAGCACATCTCAAGCTGGATGCAAACTGATTATCATGGTAGAGCTCCAAGTGTTACAGTGCTGGATGCTGAATCAAGTAGGGACTGTTGTAACATTTGTCTTTCTGCTTGTCTGAAATTAAGCACAATTTTTCTTTTCTTTAGTATTTCCTGATGTTCTTTTCAATATTGAAGTTGAGATTGAGAGGGGACTGTGTGGATTTGAGCACCACCAACTCCTGCTGCTAGAGATTCTGTAAATAGCCACAAGCAGGACTTCTCTTCCTCCCAGCAATCATATGACTGCTGCTTGTATAGTTATACTCACAAATCTAAGTATGGAAGTACTACTGCTGGCTCATCTCAGACTATTTAGTGCAAATTTAAAGCTACACACATAAATACTCTGACTTTATACATTTTGTCACCAAAAAGTAGTGAAAGCTTGGTACTGTTCAAACAGTGATTCTTGATATCAGCCTTTACTTTAAAACAGACTTGTGACTTTTTTGACTAAGTTTGTATGAACAAGTATTAAATACATCTATTAAGCTTCATTTTATCTATTACTATAATGTAAGTGACTTTAATGTTGAGAACTCAAATCAGAGTGTTGAACTTGACACTTTTATGGAGTACAATTGCAGAATGAATGCAGAATTGATGAGTTTATTTGAGGTAGGAACTACTGATCTGAGCTCTAAACTAGCTATATAAATACTCATTTAAAAATATCTTTTGATCTAATGATAATTTCATTTCCTGTTGTTGTCTCTATCCAATAGATTATAATAATGTTGGTAATAAGGACTATTAGGTGTTGAATATGCAATCGAGCTATTTAGAACTGAAACATCAAGTATGAAATATGTAGTTAGAATATTTGCCTAATCTCTCTCATCTTGAGCAATCTTTGGAATGACCTATAAGATATATCATGTTTGCCAACTAATTTGGAGAAGATGCTGAAGTGAGTATCACAGCCTCTGCCTTGATTTGCCAACTTTCAGAGCAGTCAGTGTTGCAGCTCTTGGTTGTTAGAGCCTGTGCTTCTCCTGAAGGTCACTGGGGACAATGTTGAAAACCTGACACTTGCAGGAATAGAGGGCATGTTTGCAGTAGGCATGCAAGAGGGATGGTCAGAGCTATTTCAGAAAGGGTGTGGGAAGAAAGGGTATGCATTGTAAAAACAAAGGTTTTTTGACACTGGTTCTCTGGAAGAAACCTGTTCTAAAAGGGCACTGTGATTTTTGGAGGGCGGCTAATGTTTGGTGTTATTGTTTGGATGCATGTTCAGGTTACTTGCAGAATAGTCTGAAGGGCTTAAAGCAATTCAAGTTAAAGCTCCTACTCTTGTTTAGTTTTGAGAACACTTTTCCTCTTGTTTTGTCCAGGAATTGAAGCTTGAACATACTGAGAATTTTACAAGTGGTTCAACTTTTCCTCACTCACAACTACAATTAGAAAATTCAATTGAAGCAGGACTATTTTTTACCCCTTATCTCATACCATCACTCAAACGTATATGATATTGTAGAAACTACATCATGGTAACAAAAGCTGTTGGAAAAGCAGTTCTTGTACTCAAATAGTAATTAAATGTATAAATACTGAACTTTGGATCTTTTAAAATGTACCATTTGAGGCTTAGGTCATATGGAATCTGTTGAAACAGTTTAAGCCCTGAAGTACAGTAAGGGAATGTGTAGAATTAGGTGAAGGAGAAGAATTTTAAAGATTACAAATAGAAATCAGGTGCTTTGCATTTCATGAGTACATTCTACAAATATTTTGTAAATCAAGTGTTGGATTGTGAAATTGGATGCTGGGATCTGGTTGCCCTGCTGTGACAGGCAACTTTAGGTATTTCAACCAGTACATGGTGCACCAGTCAGTTGTTATAGCAGCTCAGTCTGGAATATCAATTATGCAGCCACACACTGTAATGGTTTAATGTATTAACAATTGTAAACTTAAATAAGTTTTAAGTTAAGGTATTTTCTCTGATCAATCTGTGTTGTTGTGGTTTTTTTATGAAGGTGTGCAAACAGATTTGGCTAGGCCTATTTGATGATAGATCATCAGCAATTCCAGACTTCAGGGATCCACAGAAAGTAAAGGAATTTCTACAGGAAAAATATGAAAAGAAAAGATGGTAAGATACTTTTACTATTACAGAGTTTGTCTCTATGATGAGAAGTGAAGATTTTGACTGTGCTCTGTAAAGTGGAATGATTTCTGAATTTTATTTAGAGCTCCTGTAGGAAGCAGAAAAACTAAAGAAGTTTCTCAGTGTTCATGTTGATGGAACAGAAATGGCTTAAGAGGATGTCAACAACAGTGTAAAGTAACAGTTTTGCAGATTATTGTTTTCCATCCTATTTGTTAGTATGGGAAAGACATGTTTTGTATTGATTAATACAATATTGAAGACTTTAAATTCTAGTCCATTAAAAAAAAAGTCTCTGGCATAATTGAAGAATGGGTAGTTTACTGATAGAATCTATTACTGGATTGGGTTTCAGTAGCAAAGCTGAGATCTGCCAGTTCTCAACTTCAGACTTAGGAACTTCTCACATGAAACTTGTAAAAACCGTTGCTCTTTTTGAATGTAGGTATGTTCCTCCAGAACAAGCAAAGGTGGTGGCATCAGTCCATGCATCCATATCGGGGTCTTCTGCCAGTAGTACAAGCAGCACACCTGAGGTGAAGCCACTCAAATCTCTCTTGGGAGAAGCTGCACCCACACTGCACTTAAACAAGGGCACACCTAGCCAAGTGAGTAATGACTGCTGAGGAGCACAGAACTGTTCTGCAGTCCTTGGTACTGTTTCAGTAGCACAAAAATTCTTGCAATAACAACTGCTGTGATCTGTAGGAACTAATATGATCACTGTATTTTGTATATTTTACTGAAGTACCTACATGTTTGCAGATCAGGTACTAAATGAAGTTTGTTTCTATTGACCAAATTGATTTTTCAGTGGTTATTTTCAGCAATCGGTTTTCCAGTGTGATAGGATTAATTCTTTTGCATAAATACCTCTAAAGTTTGGACCTGATGTGTTATATTTTCATCTTTGTTTTTTCTCTTTGAAAATAAGAAAATAACTGATGCTGTTAACTGTGAGATTAGTAGTGAATATGTGGATGAAATCATGTCATATTTATTATTGCTTCCTATGCATTCTGAAACTGTCTTAAATGGCTTTCAGGGGGAGTCTGTATGCTGTAATGTAAAGTCAAACAATGCTGTGTACTTTGATTTTTGACGGGAAGACAGTTTGTTTGAAAACTGCCTTCAGGATACAGGCAACTCTGGAATGGACCTCTTTCACCTCAAACAGTAGAAAATTGCAACTTCAAGCCTTGCTATAAAATTATTCAATTGTTTTTCCCTTATACTGAATTACAAAGATTTTTTTCATAATGTAGTGAATAACTATTTTCCATCCTGTAAAATTAAGTGTTACTGCTTGTATTTGATGGCATTTTCAGTTTCAAATACAAAATCTGAAGTTGCTAATGATATATTGCTACTTTATTCTTCTGAGTGCTATTAAACTGTGTAAATCTGCTGTAGAGTTCCTTTAAAAGCCAGAGTAGTAGCATAAATTGTCTTCGTCATACTACAGGAGGAGGGTGTGTGCTACATACAGCATTTTAAACTTCAGGAATAAATGTCCTGTTAAAGAAGTAAGTTTAGGCTAGCCTTCTTATATTTTGTAAATGTCACTTTGGTAAAATATTACCTTTTTGTACTAGCTAATTGAAATCTTGTTTGTAGTCTCCTGTTGTAGTTCGATCTCAAGGACAGCAGCAACAAGAAAAGAAACAATTTGACCTCCTCAGTGACCTTGGCTCAGATATCTTTGCTGCTGCTCCTCCTCAATCCACTGCTACAGCGAATTTTGCTAATTTTGCACACTTCAACAGTCATACAGGTACGTATTTGGACCACTGTATCTATTTTAAATGTATAAACTATAGTTTTGATTTGGATGGGTTTTGACTAAACTTCCTGAGGTGTATGTAATCTCTCTGCCTTAGGAATGTTGTATTGCTCAAGATTTCTTTCTTTATAAAGAAAGACTGAAGACATAAAGACTGACAATTCTGCTTTTGCAAGTGAGAGTTGCTGTAGCTATTCCCTGGGATATGTATGATTACACTATTTCTGCCTGCTACTAAACTTCAGGTTTCTTTGGGGGAGAGAGTGAGAGGATGTGTAACAAAGTGTTGGGAAAAGCTGATATTAGACCTTCAAGTTTCTTTCTGAAAATTATTAGGAAGAGCATTCACGAAGAGCAAGCAGATACAGAGACTTTAAAGGAGTTCAAATGCATTGATAAAAACTGCCAATTTGTCGGAAGAAAAACCAAGGCTTGCCCAGCTTGAAGAGCGATCTCTTTTGTGTGTGTGTCTGTTTGAAAGCTGAGTATTGCCCATGTGGGCAGTATTCTGTAGTTTCAGGAAGAATAAACAAGCCTTGAGCATATATATTGACTGAGGAAAGGGGCTAGGCCTTGAATTCTTAGAGGATGACTTCAGTAAAATACATTGAACCATCAGGGTTTTTGTTTTTTTCCCAGTCAAAGACCAAGAGACATAGAATCCTGAAGACAGAGTCGGTTCTGTGGTAGCTGAAGTTTGTTGTTGCTAGCTTGCCTTGTAGTTGTGAGAAAGTACCTCTGCCTGCCTGGTGTGAATGGGCTTTTCATCTAGTTGTTCTGAGAGAAACTGTGATGCTGCTAAGCCACCCAGAATAAGAGATTTCTTGCAAATCAGTCCTGAAACTGTTAACAGCCAAGATAAAGTGTCATGGATGAGACTTAAGGTTCACACCTGAGGAACTGAGCAAAATAGCAAGAATTTGTCCAAATTAATGTTGTGAAATAAATGACTGAATTCAGTAACAGTACAACAGCAATTGTTATTCTCTACATTCTGTAAAATCCTTAAAGTTAGATTTCATGTTAAGCATCATTTTGGAGGTATGTTTAACTGGGAGAACTTGTGCTGACTGGCCAATACTGTATAGTGTTACTGAAAGGGCTGCAGATGGTTCATTCTTTCTTATAATTTCTTTCCAAACTTGTTGCTGAACGATTCTTTATTTGTATACACTTACTTGTTCTTAGTGCTTTTTAGAAGATGAAAATTCCATTAAAGCAGTATTTCAATGCTGTGTTCCAAACCTAGATAAAATTCCAATGCATGTCTGCTGGGTAATTTTTAAAAGGTTAAAAAGCTATAAGAACGCTCTAGAATAAATACCAACTGAGGAGAGAGTCTGTTCATTTTTGGTCACAAACTAACCATTGTGGTCATTCCCATGACTTCTTACCATAAGTTTTAGAGCCCAAAGCAGTATCAGGGTTAGTAAATCAGTTTCTAAAAGACAGAAACCTGATTCTGAGTGTCTGATAGCTGAACATGTGTTACAGACTTGTTACCTGAGGGTGTTTTTTGACTTGCTGCAATAAAATGCTTGTAAAGCTTGTCTTGTGTGCAGTAAGTACAGGGTAGTGTTAGTGAAATGAATAACAAAATGTTACAGACTCTTCCTTTGGAACACAAGGAGGGTTGATCAGTCTGCCAGCTTTGGCAAAAATGAGTTTGAAATGCTCATTAAGGAGCTGTATAAACATGTAATTTTTGTTAGCAATTACACACTGAAGTGGAGGATGGGAGAATTTGTACTTAGTCCAGCTCTGCTTTCTCGACGTTTATGGTCTGGTGTTCTTGCTTTAGGGCTTGGTTTTAGCTGTGTGTATAAGGAATGGACTTTTTCCACTTCCTGTACACAATACTAACTAAAGAAATCATTGAAGAGACCAGCGAACTTAAGATCCTTCAGTACAACTTACTGAGTGCAGCAGCTGATAGGAAAAATATTAACAAACTTGTGCTGTAATCTGTGAAGTGTAGGTGTAAATCTTGAAAATTATGCAGGAACTGCAATTTGTGATATATTCCTGCTTTCCAAGTTCTTTAATGTATTAAGCTGGTTCAGGATATTGTTGCTTATTGAAGGGAAAACATACTGTCCTTATGTTTACTGCCTGTATTTAATTTACAAAGTTTTTTAATTTTTGCAAAATTGAGATTTTGAAGATGGTAATGACTGATTTGTCTGTAGTTTATAGACTGGTAATAGCAACAAGGATCAAAATTTTTGGCACACGGATTTCTTATAAACTAATGGAATAGGTGACACACACAACAGATTTTACAAAGGTGTAGTGACACAGCACAACTCTATCACAGATAACATGGGAGAAGAGGCTTTATCTAGAAAAAGTAAAATAGCATGAGAGTTTGTAGAGGTTTTTTTTTTCCTTTAGGTATGTGTGGATTTTATTTTAGTTTTTTTTTGTTTTGCAGTGTTTCATGCCTTTGTTGTGTACCAGGTAGTATAAACCTCACAGAAGAAACTGCAGAGATTGTAGGAGCAGCTGGCATTGCCATGACTGGTGTTGTCATCCCTGGCTGTAGCCAGCTGGCTTTTGTACTGCCTCGTTGGTCTGCAGTGTCAAGAGCAGCTGTAAATCCATGGCAATCTGCAACCCCCTGCAGTTCCTGAATTTACTTAGGGTTGTTCCTGGGTTTTTGTGTGGAGAACTGAATTTTGGAATTTGCAATCTACATATTGTCCAGGTTCAGGAGAGTAAAGTCTTACCTGGTCTTTAACTTTGTGCCACATTTACAAAGGTTGAAACTTTACTTCATAAAATAAAACAAGTTTAATATCAGAATACTCTGCTGAAGAGGCTTTACACCAATACTGTTTGAACCTGGGCTCATCTGAAAGTCATCCTTTGTGATGCAGTAAAATGAAGTGTTTTGTAATGTAATACACTCCAGTTTTTAATTTGGACCGAAAAGATATTTCATTTAAGATTCTTGACATAGTTTTCTGTTTGTGTGAGTGGTTAAAATGAATAATCTTGCCCTTATTCTAGGAATGACATTTATATACTTAATCCTCTTTGGTCAACTAAACATCAGTCTCTCATCTGTCCAACTGATGCATTAGGATTGATGTATCCTAATTGTATCACTTCCATTTTTAAAGTAAATTCTTAATCTCTTCCTATTAAAAAGCTACTGGTTTAAAAATCAAAACAATTCATTTGAGATTTGGAGTTGGAGTTTGTAAAATGCTATTTGAACCAATACAGAAGATATAATAGAAGTAATTTTTTGTCTGTTTGAAATGTGCAAAAAGTTGGCACAAAGGTGAAAATAGCTTTCCCAAGTTCTTGCTTTCACTTAGATTTCTTTTTTTTTTTTTTTTTTTTTCTCACTGACTCTCATGCTGTGGTGGGTTGACTTTGCCTGGTTCCGGGTGCCCACAGGGCTGTGTGTTCACTCTCTCATCAGCAGGGCTGGGGGAGGAGACACAAAAAAGCTGATGAGTCAAGAGAAAGTAACTGGGCAAACCAGACTTTGTTTGACACTTAATAATAGAGTAGGATAGTAAGAAAATAAAACCAAACCTACCTTCATCTCTTCTTGTGAGGTGTAATTTCACTCCTGACCATTTTAGCTGTTCCTCATTATGGGGCTGGGGAATGAGCATTGCAGTTAAGTCATAAGATTCCATCTCTGTTGCTACTTCATGCTGTTCCCCTGCTCCATTGTGAGTGGGATCCATCCTGAAGTGGGATATGGTCCTTCTCAAACTTCTTGGAATATGTGAGCTCTTTCCAGGGGTGTCAGTTCTTTGAGTACTGCTCCAGCACAGGTCCTTTCCATGGGGTGCTGTCCTTCAGGCAGGGTCACAGCTCCTGCCAGAAAACCTACTCCAGTGGGGCCTCCTCTCCATCAGCCACAGCTCTTGCCAGAAGCCTGCTCCAGCAGTGGCTTTCCATGAGTTGCAGCCTCCTCACGACCTCCCCTACCTGCTCTGGCATGGCTCTTCCACAGACTGCAGTGTGAATGTGTTCCACCATGGTCCTTCATGGGCTGCAGTGGGACAGCCTTCCTTACCATAGTCTTCTTCATGGGCTTGGAGCATGTCCCTCCCTCCCTCTTAGCTGACCTTGGTGTCTGCAGTGTTTTTTCTTGCCTTTTCCTCACTCTCCTCTGCCACAGCTGCTGCATACTGGTAACCTTTATAAACACCGTGCCCCAGCCAGCACTGCTGGTGGGCTTAGCTTTGGGCAGTGCTGGGGCAGTCTTGGAGCTGCAGCAGCTGTGCAGCAATGGGGGCAGCTTCTGTTTTCTCCTCACAGGGACCACCCTGGCTGCTCCCTGCTGCCAAAACCATGCTCTGTAACCCAAGGCTTATGCACATGGTTTATTAAATGTGGCATCGAGTCTTGCCAAACCTTACCCTCTCTCCCAGTGTACTCTGAAGAGGAAAATGCTGGCATTTTCCTGCTAGTTTATGTTAGCAGCATCGTGGAGTACAGTAGTTTGTATTAAAATGTCCTTTTAGTTTGTAAATCTGTAGTACAGATGCTTTCGAATAGAAATTAAGTGAAATAATACAACTTTTAGTTAGCACTATCACACTATTAAGTTACAGTACTTCAGCAATCAACATAATTTATTCTCTTGGTATATACTTAATCTGCAAAATCTCTCCAGAATAAACAAATTCTAACCTAAAAATATAATGTATTGCCATCTGTTATTCCAGAAGGTGCTTTGTGAGTGTTCTGTAGATAGTAACTGTAGTTATCTTTATAAAAAGATTTTGTTTGCATTTGATTAAAAACATTTTTTCCTTTCTTGCTTATAACAGAGTTTAAGGGCTTCTGTAGATCTTACCAATTAGGCATACAATTCCTGTTGAATCCATAGATGCTTGAATATCCAGCTGGTCAAAATTAGATTAGTGTTAACTTCTGTTTTCTCCTATAGTATGGCACAAAAGGAAGGTGAAAACTGAAATTCTATTTGAAATTTCCTTGGATTTTATTTTGTGGATGCACTCTATTAATGCTATTTTCTTGCCATTGGTATTGATTTTCCATATTTCTGTACTCTGATTTAGTGTTTTTAGAGACTGAATTTTCCAGTTAAATGAATTTATAAACTAGCTGAAACTATTCAAGTTGTGCCAACCAAAATTCACCTGAGGAAGGAAGCACTTGGTATATGGGCAATTTAATGTGCTAGTATGTTACAAGAATACCTTCTGATTTTTATTCACAAAGAAATGTTGGGTTAGCCCACAAGTTCTAGTTTTGGAAACTAGGTATTCTGTACTTTATGGCTGTTTTCTCCTGAGCAGCCAGCACTGCAAACACCTAGGGTTAAGCAGAAGTGGATTCCATTGGGTCATGCAGTTGTGAGTAGGAGCTTGTGTGAGAAGGACAGTAGTAGCATGAACTGTGAACAGCTCTGTGAAGGTGACTTGTGAAAGATTGTTCAAAGACAGCTCTCAGTTGTAGAATAACATGTAATTTTCTTCATGTCAACAGCAGCACATGTTAGGACATAACCCTTGGAGGCTGTCATGACCATGAATTCAGTTAATACGTCTGTTTTTGTGTTTATTTCCCATATCCATTAACATGTTTTGTTCCTTTGCGATTTACAGCGCAGAACTCTGCCAATGCAGGTTTTGCAAACTTTGATGCATTTGGACAGTCTAGTGGCTCGAGTAATTTTGGAGGTTTCCCCACAGCAAGTCAGTCTCCTTTTCTGCCCCAAAATACAGGTAGAACTCCTAGCACTTTTGATTAATACTTAATTGAAATAATCCTTACCTTTATGTTGGAAGGTACCGAAGTTGAGTTTTTCTTGCATCTGCCTGCTTTAATGCAATCAAGCCATCTGAAGCTCTGGGGAAACTCAAAATGAATTCCTTGTGTTTGGTGTTGATTTTTTTTTTCCCCTAATGCTACTCAGAAGTCTGATTTATGGCACTGTGTTTGTTAGCTCTACACCTGAAATAACTATGAAAAGAATAAACTCTACTGCTTTCAATAAGTATTGAATTGACTGTGTCTTCTAAGAGAAGCACTTCAGTAGATCCAAAAGGATGTCACAAACAAGTGTGTGTCTATGCATATGTATAGCATGTGCACACACTTCAGCATGTTTGACTTCATGTGTAGAGCCTATTGCTAAGATTTATTTTGCTTTCCTTTAATTTGATCATGCTTTAGAACTTCTGCTTGAGTTTACACTTGCTGTTTGTCTAGATCTTTGGCTGACTGACTTTCTTTTCCTTTTTTTTTTTCTTTTGAGTGTGGTGTTGTGTTAAACTTTTTTTTCAAATTTTCTTTCTCCCTTCTTATGTTAACTTTAACCCACACACAATTTCTGGCTGTCCAGCGTTCAGAACGCTTTCATCTAGCTGCAGTTTTGGTGAATTTACTTCAGCTTTTCCTCTCCAGGCTGTACACAGTAAGTTCCACGCAGTGGAAAACTCAGCTTGCTTCATTTTATGCCATTGTAGTATAGCACTTCCATTCCTACTGTCGCATATGTTTCAACTTGTTGCTTATGCTTTTTAGAAAGTTGTGTTTCTGTTTTAGAAAGTTCTGTAGTATGAGTGGAATCATCAACCGTTACAAAATGTGATACACTTAATGGAACAGCTCATTTAAATTTAAGTATGTGACCTGCCTAGATAAAATTGTCTGGACAATGAAGAGATGGAAACTCATGATGTCATACTTGATCTAAAGTTCAGTTGTGTGGACCCATATCAGATTTCTAAAATTGATTTATGTATCTCTGATGTCAGTGTAGATTTGTTATAAAAGAGATGTGTTGTGTCTTCCTCCTAGCCTCTTTCCTGATTGGATGCAGTCTAAAACTCTTGAGAACAGAGAACCAGACTCTCTAAACGTGGGCATGAAATCCTACAACTTTTGGACTTCTAGGCTTTTTTTTTTTTTTTTGCTTAGGATGATGTCTGACATCTGATATGACTAAGCATTGAACCATTAAGTAAATGCAGTAGTAGCTATTCATTAACCACATATAGAAGGGAAATGAAGCTTCTGTATTTTGAATATTAAAGATTAAGACAAATATATATTTTCCTAGGAAGCTTTTATTATTGAAATTACTTTTAACAGCTAAAAATAGCACATAGTTTTCAGGATCAAATTATGACTGTCATTTGAAGTGTTGAAGTTTAGGATGTTTATCCCTGATATGCAGTCCAAACAGTATATTATATTTTTTTTCTGATGGCCCACTGAACTTTGAAGGAAATGGAAAAAAGTCTTAAATGTGTAGAATGGGGCAGGCAGACACATTTGCCTCATACAACCACAAAGGGAGGGTTATTGTGCCATCAGTTACAGTGACTTTCTAACTTTAGAGCATTGATCATCTTTAACTTAATTTGTTACAGGTGGAAGTGCTGGATCAGTGAATGCTAATTTTGCTCACTTTGATAACTTCCCCAAATCCTCCAGTGCTGATTTTGGATCCTTCAATGCTTCTCAGAGCAACGCCACAGCAACTGCAGCCAGTAAAGCTGCAGTGAATAAAATGAATCTTCAGTCAGCTGACAAATATGCAGCTCTTGCTAATTTAGATAATATCTTCAGTGCAGGGCAAGGTATTAAACTTTATTGTTTGCCATGGTTATTCTATATATGTGTATAGTTACCACAAGGATGACTGTGCTTGTCAAAGTACTGTAACTGTACTTCAAAATTTCCCTTGTCGAAGTGATCAGAATTCTGTGTCAATGTACCCTTAATGTGCAAGATATAAGTTTTAAGACATTGTTCCAAAGGATGTCATTCTAAATTAAAATATCTAAATAATCATTACTTCAATAATAAAAACATACAAAAATAAAACCTGATATTTTATATTTGTACTAAAACCTATAGTGGATACTCTGGAATGGAGAGCTGTAGCTGTTGCAAAGAGCCACCAGAGCAGCTTTCTTACCTTTCTGCCACAAAAACATTTGGCTTTAGTTTTTCATAAAATAGTAGCAGTGATATTTGGATTTAGTTTATAGTAAAATAAGGAGAAAAAGCTAGATATTCTGTTATTCAAATGTAGTCCTTCTTGAATGGTGTGTTAAAACTTATGTTCATTTGTACTGCAGAGGTTTATTCTGAAATGGATTATTTGAGGTTAGGTGTTCTGTTCATTTTCTAGTTGAGGATGAATTCATTGTTTTTCTGGAAAAAAAAAAAAAGCTTTTGGGGGCTACAGAGTACCTATAGAGGTAGGACATTTTTCTAATAGCTAATGGCTTGTTAAACACTTTTTCCTCTATGCCCTAGTGCATATTTAATTTTTTAGTCTGCAACCGTCTGTGAATTTTCATGTAGTTCTCAATATCAGCAGGATAGAAAGTGAAACCATCTTCAGTATGTTTGATCTGCTTTCTTTCTTTCTAGGTGGGAGTGAGCAGGGCAGTGGCTTCAGCACAGCCGTGTCCTCAGCAGGCCCTGCGCTGGCCGCCCCCAACCAGTCAAGTGCATCTTCAGACAAGTACGCGGCGCTGGCGGAGCTGGACAGCGTCTTCAGCTCCACGGCCACCTCCAGCAGCGCCTACACTGCCACCAGTAACGTCAGCAGGTACGGGCCAGGGCTGCTCTGTGCCACACTGCCTGCAGCAGCAGCACACAGCAGCTTCAGGTCATCTCTCGCATCTCTTCGTTCTTGTCTAAATGGGGAAGCATTGAATCAGTTTAGAGGTACTACTGAAACTGCATCTCTTGTTTTAAATAATGGCAGTACTGAGGGATAGCATTCTCTAGGAATGTCAGTGGACTGTTCTCTGCACCTTTCTAGTCATGACATGCTAAACCTGTTAGATGGTAGCACTTTGCTCTGCAGAGTACTTGCATGTATACTCAAAATCATAGGATCATCCCTGAAAAAAGAAATCGGATATTTTTAATGTAAATGGTGCCACCTATTTCTTTTCTAGATGACTGAAGTAAAAAATACCAAATACCTTTTAGGGGCTTGGTATTGCAAGTGCCCCTAAGGCTTCTGCTCTGCAACCTTTATGATGTTGGCCTTAGCTCAATATTCCTTCTGCTGTTGGTGGAGATTGCCTTGCATTGCTCAGCACTAGTGAGACTGTCTGACCCTGGCATCAGGGAGGTACATTGCAGTCTGCAAACTGCATAGAAGTGTTCATCCCCTTTCTTTTACATGCCAGCAGTAACTGTAAATTGTATTTAATTATTAAACAAGCAATTCTGACTTCACTGAATGAATTGTATAAATTATTTCCAGCAATGCTTTTGGAACAGTACCTGTGGCTGCTACTGCACAGACACAGCCTGCATCTTCAAGCGTGCCTGCTCCATTTGGAGGTATGGAAGTGTTACTAACACCCTTTGAGGACTGTAAGTAAGCAATCTAGTAATTTTTATTTGATAATGCTCTACTTTGATACCACTAATACTGAAGCTAATAAAGGTATTATTAACGAAAAAGTACTTCTGTCAAAAAAACTATGTTTTTAATGTATCTTCTTATAAATTCCTGATTTTTTCATCTAATTTTAGGTATTTATTTATGTGTCTTTGTATAAAAGCTGTCTAGACTTTGTGAGTCAGATTGGCTATTAGAGAAATGCTTACTTAATAAAGTGTCTTTAATCTTTCAGCAACACCTTCCACAAATCCATTTGTAGCTGCCCCTGTTGCCCCAGTGGCACCTTCAACAAATCCATTCCAGACCAATAGCCGAGGAGCAACAGGTTAGGAAAAAATACATTGAGTGTTTGAGAAACTTTCTTTAAAGAATTGCATTGATGCTTTTTTTCCTGTATCTGTGTAATTTGTTTCTTAAAGATTTTCTGTATTATTTGTCCCTAGTCTATTTGACATGTTGTGTGTTTGCTCAGTGTTGAGGTGCAAATCTAGGATTTCAAATGGTAGCCATGAAAAAAATCTGTTTGAGCTCTACCTGTTTGTAGTCTGTGTATCACCAGCTGGATTCCTTCCAAGAATATAACCTTGGCTTTAGAGCATGCTTTATGGCAGGTAGCCCTGAAATCAGGGATCTTGAAAGCCCTTCTTTTTACTTTCTTTCTTTTTTTTCAAAGTGTTGAAAGCTCTCAGAACCAAAGAGCTGGAGCCAGAACCAGTAAAAACAAGGCTCTTGGGATGTTAGCTCCTCACCAGTCCATTTACTCAGTACATTAGTGTCTCTTTTTTAAAGCGTATGTTTAATCATTGCATTAATTTTTCATATTAATTTTCTGTAGAGGAATTTCTTATATTAATTTTATGTAGGGGGATTCTGTAGAATTATAATTCCATGGGCAAAACTTTTTAAGAAGGCAAACTTGTACTTCTTTAAATCTATGAACTTGGATTTAGATGGCTGCTAGATTATGCTGATTTTCTTCCCCAGAGCAGCTGCTAAATTTTGACACTTTTGTCTGTTAGCTGGATTAAAATCTGCTGATGTGTGCATTTTGACATTGAGTTGTGGTTTGCTCAATGATTTAGGTAGGCTGAGTTAAAAACTGATTTGATAAATTTGTGTCATGTGCTGAAATTAATTGTTTTCAGTCCCTTTTGAGATATTATGCAGTTAAACTTGTTCAGATACTTAATGCCCAAAATACCTTTTTTCCCTTCATTTTAATCCCATTCCTAAATGGGCTGTTTTGGATCAGCATTAAGAATTTGTAGCCTCTTTAGTTAAATTTCTTTGAATACAGCACCTCTATCCTTCCACGTTCTATACAGCTGTCCCTGGCTTGCTGAGGTTCCAAGCCTTTAGCAGCATCCTGGTGTTCCATAGGTGACAGAAATTATTTCTATAAGTAATCTTCAGTCCCTTTCAGTGTAAGGTGTAGACTTATGGCTTGTCCTTTTATGTGTTCTTCCTGCATGAACTTTTCTATTTAGTACATGGGAGATCTGTTTTGTAGAGCTTATTTCTGATGGTTTTCTAATACTAATCTATTGCTGGTCATGCTATTGATAAACTGTTTGGTACATATATGTGTATTTATTTCTCTCTCTATATATAACTAAGAAATGACTGTTGAAGAGTATAAATGATTTGACATTGTCTGGTCTCTTTGTGGCTTCCATAAGGCCTCTCGGGAGCAATGCACTCTCACATATTTCCTCAGGCTCATTTTGGTAGGTGGCCACATTTGGTATCTAGTTTCTTGTGGCTAATTGTTCTTGCTTGTAAAAGCTTATTGACAGCTATCTGGTTCTCTGCACGAAGAATTGTGGAAGACTTCTTAAAAATGGAGTGGGTGTGGGTGTTTGGCAACTGGGCAGAGGGACAGAAGAGCATACATAGACATCGTGTCGAGCAACCAAAACAAAACCATTATCAATATCCTCCATGGTCACCATATAGTGCTAATGAGTGACTGTTGAAGTTTTTGCCACCAGTAGTTTGATGCCTTTTGGGATATCCCAAGTCCCCTGCTGATTTTGTTGTGCTTCTGTTTGCTGTTTTAGCCAAGTTTGCTGTCGAGTAGCTGCTCTGCTCACTGTAATTTGAGAAGTGTTAGTACATTAGTTTTGTGTGCACTTGTCAACAGTTTGTCTGTATAATGTCTTGCCCTTGAATACTTTTGGGGTAAATATTTCAACTGATAATTAAGCTATATTCATTAAATTTATTTTATTAGCTTTTTTAAACAGTTGAGCTTGCATAAAATGTAGCTTGTAACATTTCAAAAGAGAAATGCTGTTTAACTAGCATAGAATACCTGGTGTCTCTATTTGTACCAAAAATCTTCCTGTACACTTCTCTTTTCAAGAATAACTCCCAAAAGACTGAATAATGGTTTTGTTACTATACTTTTGCACCTAACGTGCTCCTGTTTATTTGCCAAAGGCATGGGAAAATGCTTATGAGCTGTGTGTTCTTTACTCGAAACGTTCAGCAGAGAATCAGATGAAAAGTTTTGGGCTCTTTTTGTTTTAAGTTCTACCTCAATAGTAAAGAGGGTTTGCAACAGGAACTTTGTGTGCAAATAATGTGCATGGTGAGAATTTCCTTAAAGATATTAAAGATGGGATGAAAATAGGGGATGCATGTATCCCTTTGATTTGGCTGTTTGTTTTTTCTTTATTTATAACCTCCTGTAGTGCAGCTTGAACTAGGAAAATCCTTTCATGCTTTTCTCAGAAGGAGAAAAACAGAGGGGCTTAGGCTGCCTGAACCTGCTTGCTTCTTATGTGTATGGACTTCTACCAGAAAAACTGTGGGGGAAATGTATGATAACACTGAGAACAAAAAATAATTTCCTCTTCAGAAAGTATATCTGAATGTGCTAGATCTACTAAATTTTAAATAATGCCATTCATAAGTGTAAAAGCAAATTGTGCACCCAGTTGGTGATGATCGAAGGGAAGAAATCAGTTCAGTGGCTGTAGAAGTCGGACCAAACTTTTGTCCAGTCACAGAGGGCATTAGAAGACTTAAGATGGCCTTACAGTGATTTTTTTTTTTTTTTTTTATGAAAAAAGTGATTTCTTACAAATAATTGTGTGTTATTTTTTCCCTACCAGCAGCAACATTTGGTACTGCATCCATGAGCATGCCGGCAGGATTTGGAACTCCTGCCTCCTACAGTCTTCCTACTAGTTATAGTGGCAACTTCCAGCAGCCCACGTTCCCAACCCAGGCAGCTTTCCCTCAACAGACTGCTTTTGCTCAGCAGCCAAATGGTAGGTCTGCATGTTTTAGATAACCTTGTCTAAATCAGAAATATGGAGAAAATTATCTGTGTATAAGTTGGCAATAATGGGTGGATATTTATTTCTACATGAACTTGATAGTAATGTTGATGAAGGGTTCCCACACTGTTTTGGCTCTGTAATTGAGCCTTCTGACTTGGCTGTTTGCAATTAAGTAATGATCAAACTGAAATTTTACCAAAATCTCATACTAAAATGGTGAGTATTCCAAGATGTAAAGGCATTTTAGGCAAGAAGGGCTGTTTTGGGATGTCTGCGACACACTATTACTCTTTCTCTAACTTCATAGAACATAGGCAAGAGAAAATATTTTCTCCCTGAATTTATATGATATCATAATATTGAAAAAAGTGCATGTGTAGAAATTGGAGATCGGTGAGTTATTAACCATTGAAAACAAAGAAAAAGCTCAACCACAGTGACATTCCTGATCATGTTTAAGTAGGATCAGTCCTGCTGATTCTGCAGTTCAAACTTACGCTTAATTTTGGCTGGGAGCTGAAGCAAAGAACTGTTTGAACATTGTTTAGTAGCATTAATTTTTTTTACTTTCCAAGGAGCAGGTTTTGCTACATTTGGGCAAGCAAAGCCTGTAGTAACTCCTTTTGGACAAGTTGCAGCTGTTGGAGTATCTAGTAACCCTTTTATGGTAAGTTGTTGCATGTTAATAACTTCTGTATGTCCAAAGAAGAATAGTCTGTAACACTTGATTTAGAGATACACAAAGATTTGGGGGGTTTCTTGCTTTTAATAAGGGAAGGCAGCATGTGACTTTTCAAACTGCAGCTCACCATTCTGATAATATGCCGTTTGCAAGATTAAAGCAGAGGTACTTTCATGCATGTTCCCACAGTAGTGTAATTCCAGAGAAGCTGCAAAAAGCAGATTGCAATATAAAACAGAAGTATTCCCCAGCAGGTTATTTTTTTTTAGTATATTCTGCATTTATGATTTACATTATGGGCAAAAACTCTTAAATACTTGCCTTATTTTTCTTTGTTCCTTTTCCCCCAGGCTGGTGCACCAACAGGACAATTTCCAACAGGAAGCTCATCAACCAATCCTTTCTTATAGCCTTATAGACACTTTACCCAAAAGAACTCTTATGTGGTCACATAACATCTCTGCGCCTCTTGCACTGTTGTCTTGTTTCACTGATATTAGCTTTAAACACAAAAGAAGTCTTTAAGAAGTAAAAATAAAAGCCTGCATTGTGTACCTTTAAAAAATTTCAAAAAGAAAAAAAACCACCCGACACAAAAAACAAGAGAACCAACCCCCCACCAGGTAATAACGTGCAAAACAGAGGGCTGTGGTAACATCCTTGAACCTGTGAAGTGGCAGGTAAAAAGTAGCGGTATCATGTGTATTAAAATTGGCTAATAAGTTATTGCAGATACCACACTCATTATGCTGCAGTACTGTACATATTTTTCTTAGAAAATAGCTATTTGTGCATATCAGTATTTGTAACTTTAACACATTGTTATGTGAAAAATGTTACTGGGGAATAGATCAGCCACTTTAAGGTGCTGTTGTATCTCTTGGAATGAATGAGCTGCATCATTTTAACCATTGGTATTGGAAGTCACAAAGTTAAATTGAAGGTTTGTTCATTTCTCAAAATGTTTTCCTTTCCTAAGAGCTCTTCTATTTATACATGCCTAAATCTCTAATGTTAGAGGGATACCTGTCTGCATAATAAAGCTGATCATGTTTTGCTACAGTTTGCAGGTGAAAAAATAAATATTAGAAAAAAAAAACTGTGTAGCATTATTTCTGTGCAGTAACACTTACTGGATGAAAATGTTCACAGTGTGTCTTGTACACAGATGAGGTGTCCAAAGCAATGTGTTTAAAAGTGAGTTAAGCTTAAAATTTTAACATGTCTCACTTGGATCTGTTTCTTTGTGTCCTTGAGAGGAAGCTTGCTGTTCTAGTTCAGGTGAAGTGACCTGTCCCACAGGAGAGTGTTAGGTGAGGTTTAGATTGTTTGTTTGCACAGAGTATCTGTCATGAAGGACACTGGAAGCACTGTGCAGGGTAGTTATTGGAGATAAGGTTTGCAGCAAAAGACACCTTATTATTGGTAACTAATGACAGGCTCTGAACAAGCCTTAGTTGTGGTCTGAACAGAGTGTGTAACAGCAGGCCAAGGGACCACAGATGTAATAGCCCTCTCTTTATTAAAAACTGATACATATCTAAGAGCTCCTGTGAAATATTAAATTTGTCTTTTTTTTTTTTTTTTTTAATTTACAGAAATATTTCCTGCCATATTAGAGTGAAATTTGTAGCAGGAAAAATGTCTGGCTTGTCTTCCTCTGTAACAGTGATAAAGTTCAAGAAAAATATAACAGCATCAAAGTAGTTGGTGTTTTAAACAGAGATAATTTGACTAAAGTTAAAGTGTAATACTGGAACTAAGCAAATAATGTAAGTATTTTGTGAATACATAAACTGCAAGCATAAAGGTTTCTGACCAGCTGGAGAATAAAATTTTAACTTTCAGGATAACAGGAATAAAAAAAGGTGAGATTAACTTTTAAAAAAAAGGAGATGCCAAGTCCATTTGAGATAAACACGAAAATTCTTCAAGGTAAGACATTTCACTTTTAATTGACTCCCTGAATGTCAGATATGTTTTTCTAGGGTATCTGTAAAGTTTGACCTCTGCTTGTAAAAACATTTATGCTAATGCTTTTGACTTCTGTTGCCTGCCTATGGTGAGGTTGTAATTTCTTCTTGTTTGTTTTTGTTTTTTAAACTTTGGAGATACCAAGCAGGAGACAGGCAGCTCATAAAACATGCTGCCTGTAAGTTTTCCATACTTAAGTGTCAGTTTTTGTCCTGTTGGCTTATTTAAAATGGGCTTGAAGTCTCTCTGTATCTGATGAAGAATGCTGGACAGTGTGGTGTACAGTTCAGTTCCCAGCATTCTCGAGGGAATTCACAGAACAAATCCCAGCAACTGGAGGTTTGCAGAGTATTAGTGATAGCCTTTTTCTCACCACTGTATTTTAGCACAGTGTAAATAGTTGTTTACTCTTCCCCGTTCACCAACCTTGACTGTTTTGGATAGTAAGAGGTAAATGCAGTAGAGAATGGGGAACTGCAAGGGTTCAGCAGGGCTTGTGGAATACTTAAAAATGCTTAGTGCAGAGAACTGGACCAAATCAAAGAGATGTCTTTTCAAGGAGCTGAAAAGTGTTATGAAAGAGCAATAATTCTGTTCCCTCTTCACTTAGACTGTTGTAAATCAGACTTTGGACAAGGGCTAATGAGATCAGCATCTAGACATTGTTTTAATCCAAATATTACTTCTGAGATACTGAAACTGATTGAAGTATGCAAGGCATGTAGTTTAGAATATGCTGTAGAACTAGTAGAATACCTTGTTTTTCATAATTTGAGTTAACTGCAGACGAAAGGTTTGCAACTTTTAACTGTACACGAGCACACCTCTTTAGTCTGTGTTCACTGATTTTAGGTTTGTCAGATTCCAGATAAATTGAAGATCTTGTATTGTTTTGCATCTTCTGTATATGGAGCATAAACTGACACCATAGGTGTTTTGATTAGGTTTTAAAAATAGCTTTATTTTAAAAATTAATTCTTCACCCCTGATTTTAAATATATTTATTGTGGAAATTTATGCAGTTGTTCCCACGATTGTTCATGCAAATAGCGTCATTGCCTAAAAGCTGTATTTTCGGGCTGTAGCATCAAAGCACTTCACTTGATAACTTTAGGCCCCTTATACAGAAATTAATATGAAGACCTCCTAGAGTAGACTTCAGTCCTAAAATGTCAGCTGTTACAAGTGTAAGAAGATGCAACACTTGCAGGACCAGCCTGAGTTCTGTAAGGCAGACACCATGTCCAGTTGAAAAAGTGTTAAGTTTTCCAAAAGCCTCTGTGTGCCAAATTTTCTGACGTGTCATTGTCTGGTACAACTGCTTTAGATTCCTTGGGCATGTCTGGTCTTCTGTCAGTAACTAAATTCCTTTATACTGAGATACTCAGAAGGAGGGAAAGTCCCAAGGTTGTTCTGTGAGTTCCTCTGGTGTGAAGTTTAGGCATCTGTATGTCCTTGTGCTCACCGAGTCTTAATAGCAGTTTGTATGTTGGATCACTAAACTTGAATTAGAAGACTGTTTGAGGAATATTTGTATTAAACTCCTGGTGAAGAAAATGGACCAAATGCATCATCCTTTTGACAAAACTCTCTATGCAGTAGGCTCATAAATAGCTTGCTTCAACCTGGACCAGTTTTGCTTGATTGAACCTTATATTTCTCCTGATTTGTTGTCCAGATGATGGAGCCTTCTGCATTGTTGCTTGTAACCGTTGCTTTTGTCTCGGTTGTTAAGGAGCAGTGCTTTCAGCAGCCACGCTTGTATTTCTGCATTTGATGGAAATTATGGTGTACACACTTCTGATCAGGAAAATTCCAGTTATGACTGTGAAGTAGCTGCCATAAATGAGAAACTGGGAAATGGAGGTGAGGAAGGAGAAAAGTTATTATCTAACAGCAAAAATGGTTTTTGACTCTAAGGGGTGTCCCTGCATTGCTGCCTTCCCTTTCCTGTCACCTGTGCCCAGTGACCCCATCTTGAGAGGATTCAGGAAGTCTGGACTGCTTGACTTGACACTAGAAATTCTGTGGTTGTAAAAGGGGGACAGAATGTTCTGTTACATACTTCCCACCTCAGTAAAGGAAGACAGCTGTCCTGCACTTTTCTCTTCTGTGGAAACATGGAAACGAAACTTAAACTCATTCAGTGTCTAAGTTTCACCTAATTTTAGAAATTTAACGGGGAATTGTAATGAGTTAATTTTCAGAATTACAGTAACTTTAAAGGTGTGTCCACTGAAACTATGTAACTTAGAATTGCCCTAGTAATTGCCTTTATACTGGCTTCCTGTTTCTTGTGAATAGAAAGCTTTTAATTTAAAGAATATGCAGAGCAATAGGTGGTCACCTTTCCTCTCTGTTCTGTGAACATAGAATATTTTCCAGTCATCTCAGTACTGGGAGGCCTAGAGGACAAGCAGGTTGTCGTAGTTCAAGCCAGTTCACTTTAAATTAACCTTTTTCCAGGTGAGTAACTGTCCTGAGCTTGCACATTACCACAGACTAATCTTGGAGTAGAACCTGCTTTTGAAGGAGAGTAGGAGAACTACGCAGTGAGACTCAGGGACTTACCTGAGTGCTGATATCCAGTCCCAGACCTCTTGAATCTACTACAACAACAGTTAAAATCGTCTGAATCACCAGTGCAACAAAGTTGTTGAAGCCAAACATCAAAGCATAACGCTCCATGCTGAGGTTGACAGCAATCTGAAACCTGACAATGAATGCAGATTCACAAAACTGGAGAGCAAGGATGGGTGGATGCACTTTCCATTTGGTAACAGTTTCATGTGCACAGTGCTCTTTTCAAAGTACAAGGTCACTTCAGTCTTCTCTATTAAGCTTTAACAGCTTCATTTTGACAGAAATTTGTTGTTTTTTCTGGCTTTTTGACTTTTATGCATCTTTTTTACCCTTGAGTGAATATTTTTGCTAAATGCCTGTGTATGTTGATTGGATCACTTCAAAAATACTCATACATTGGTCATTGAACAGCCAAGTGCAGAAGCAACCTTGTTCTGACTTGGAGTGTACTGTGGTAATAGTTAGGTCATATAATTTTACCCTGTTTTATACAGGCTAGAAGCAATATATGCTGCTGTCATAACCTATCTATATCTATCTAAATTTATATCAGTAAAATTTTGATAAATGTGAAAATTTGATACTGATTTAAATCAGTTAGTTAGACCAGTTGTGTGTTGTACTTACGTTGCTATTGTTATGAGGAGCATATAGCAGGCTTTAAATGCAAGGTAACCAGCATAACATGCCCAGATGTTGTCAGTGAAGTGCATAAGAAGCAGAGAACCAGCATCCAGTGCAGAGAAAATTCCCAAAGCCAGTTCTCCAGAGAGATCCCAGTTTACTTTAACATATCCAACTGCCATGGATGTTGCTGAACCTAAAATTGAAAAGTGGCAATTAAAACTTTGAAACATTGTCATTGAGAGCCATGGCATAATTGTCACTGGATCGTGCTTGGGGCTCTTCAGTCTTGGTCACAGTGGGCTTTAGTAATGGTGTGGATTATATTTCCTGTTAGGGGTGTGGGAGTCTTCCATTAGTTTGGATGTTTTCCTCCTTGCTTAGACCCTTCACTGACTCAAGTGCTCTGGGAAAGTGCCTCATGCCTAAGGCTGGAGGCAGCAGTGCACAATCTACTGTTGTTCCTCCAGTTTTAGACAATTATGAGCAATCACACCAAGCATTTTCTGCCAAAATATGTATAATGAATTCAGTTACTTCATGTTAAGTTCTTTATGAAAAGAAAATCTGTAGCACCTCATGCTTGCTTTTTATTTTTTTTTTCTTAAATGGAAGTGTATTTTCAGTTTCTGGTGAAAATTTGTTAATGCCTTACTGGCCACATGTAGGAGAACCCTTACTCGAGTCTATTAGAGTGTAGCAAACCCCATGTTCTCAGGCGGGCTAGCACAAAAACTGGACTTGGTTTGCTGATTGTATGTGCTCTTCATCAGAATTCCAAAAACTGGAGCAAACCAACCCCTTTGGTCCATCCCTACTGTGAGCAGTGGTTGTCAGTGCTGTGAGGGCATTCTGTACTCTGAAATTTTGTCAAATGCCAGTGTAAGTGTAAGAAAGCCTTTGGGAACACTACTCAAAGCAGTAGTCAGAAGTTCTGGAGTAGCTTCAGTAAAATAGATTTTCATGCTGATTGCAGGGAGGAAAAGTAAACTGACAATTCCCTGTAGAAGTGTGGGATACAGCTCCGGGAATGTAGGGGGAGACAGCTGTGTAAATGTGAGCTCAAAAAGGAGGCTGTAGTGGTGCTGAACAGCTGTGTAAATGAAGTTTAACTTTACCCATATCCTCCTCTCCTGTGGCTAAAGAGAAATGGAATTTGTGTGGACCAGGTAACTAGTGAGAGGCAGAATGGCTGAGGTATGAAGAGAGATGGAGATCACATGGTCCTGCTAAAAGCTGAGGCAGCTAAAGGAAGCTGCTCAGGATGGTGTCTAGGTTTTGACTCTAGGATGGAGAGGCCACACCTCTGGCCAATCTGTTCTTATTTTAAATTACCCTTGGAATAAAAATGTTCTGTGTTAAAGTGGATTAGCTTGGTTTTTGTGTCCCTTGACTCTTGTCCTGTCACTGGGCACCACTGGGAAGAGCCTGGTTCCATCCTCTTTGCTCCTCCCCTTCAAGTCTCTGTGCACATTAATAAGATTCCTTGTTTTCCAAGGGTAAGCATTTACAGTGCTCTCAGCCTTGTCACATCACAGAAATGGTTTCATATTCTAAGTTGGAAGGGACCCGCAAGGATCATCAAGTCAAACTCTGAAGTGAATGGCCCATACAAGGGTTGAACACAACCTTTGTTGTGGCAAACTTGCCAATCAGGATACAGATGTAGTCACAGAATATTTGTTAAGGAGTGCTTAGACTGGAATGATTTTTAATCCAGTGTCTAAATAGACAACTTTCACAGTATGTTCTGAGTAATATTTAGAGCAGTGTATCTGCTAATGTGTTCTTTTGCTTCTTAAACCAGCCAGCTTAAGGTGTATTTGAGGGAGGAATAGGCAAGATATAATTGCACAGGGTTTTGATATGCTTACATGGGGTTAAATATATGGTATAAACAGAGCTGTAAACTTAAAACTCTTAAAACATTTTGGCAGAATGAGTCTCCTCTAAGAAGGAAAAGCTTATTTAAATATATTTTTTAAGAGCCCACTGTAAAAGTTTATAGTAAAATTATGATTTGCACAGTGTTTATCTCTGTTTACTTTACTCCTCATAGGAGATGGAAAGGCACCAAACACATTGCTGAAGAATCCCTCAGCACAGGATGGATTACAAGTACTAACGACAGCTTACCCAAAAAAGTTGCTATGGCTTCGACAGCTCCGTTGTACACTGCAGAGCTGTGGGAGGGGGCTCGCAAGTCCCACAGCACCTGGACATAATTGACCACCTGGTTAAAGCCGGCCGTGGCCAGAGCCCACCACAGGGACCAGTAGAGGAGTTTTCGGGAGCCGTAGCAATCCCTCAGGTCCCTGCCCAGCTGCAGCAGCACGCTGAGCATGTGCCCCTGGGGCCTGGCATTGCCGGGCTGGGGCTGGGGGCTCGGGGCCCCGGCAGCAGCCTCGGGGCTCCTTTCCTCCGGGCAGCTCGAGGGCCTGGGGGCAGCAGCCGCAGGCAGCCCTTTATCAGGGCCTGGCAGAGGCTCAGGGGCATCCTTCCTGTGGAAGAACATGCTCCTCTGGGGCATGGGCAGGAAGAATGCGCACAGGAATGCCAGGGACACGGAAGCCAAGGTCATGGCGTTGAGGTAGAAGTAGGAGACGTTTGCCAAGGACACCAGCAGCTGTCCCAGCACGGCGGCCACGGTGGCTGCCACCAGCGTGACACTCCTGCAGTAGCTGGTGACCCTCTGGTAGTGCTGGGTGCTGACCACGCTGTAGATGTAGGCGTAGTAGGCCACCTCGGTGGCTGTGACCATGCCATAGAAGAACTCCACCACCTGCATGGCCACCACTCCGTGTGCAAAGAGCAGCAGGAGCCAGGTGACGATGAGGCTGGTGCCCTGCAGGAGCAGCACGGGCTTGTAGCGCACGTAGTCTGTGAGCAGGAACACTGGGAAAAGGAGAGCGAGGTAGGAGTATGTCCAAACTGGCAGAACCTGGTTGGTAACCTGGAACAGGATAAAAGAGGAAATGTTAAAAGAAACAAACAAAAGAGCCCCAAACCCCTAAATGTTTAAAATACCTTTTTGGATGGTTTTTGATGGTGTTACTGCTGAAGCAACATAGTTGTGATGATAGGAAGCATTGAATTATATTTAACTGTGCTGGCTTAAACTGCTTTAAGTTACAAGACTGTGACTTCGCTATGTAAGGACCAAAGAGTGATGCTGTGCTCTACTAAAGAAACAGCATTAAAAATTTATTCCAATAAAGACCTATGAAGAAGGCAGGTACTGCACCTTCTATGTTTTCTTCTGATTTGAAGTGTAAGATGTAAGGAAGTTTTTCAGTAAGTTTAAATTGGATTTCAATACATAGATGCCTTGTGAAAAAATTCTTTCTCTTTTTTCTAAAACTGGTCTGAATTTGGGTTGAAAGGTGGTGTTTGTGGTTGCCACTAAAGTTCAGTCCTTTCCTGGGCAGTTTGGGCACACCTGGAGCAGGTATCCCTCTTTCAGATGCACATCACGAAGTAACCTTTCTCTGTGACTCCAAGTTGCCTGTTTTGGAGAGGTCTTGCCTAGTAATTGTGGGGTCTGCTGAGGTATCCGTTCCTGATCTCTTGTTCTCTGCTTAAGCAATTAGACTAGAAAGGAACTATATCAAATGCTGGAGGAATGCTTTTTACTTTTCACTCCAGGTGCTGGAGTGAGTTGTGTGGTGAGCAGCAGGTTCACTATCTTTCTTCTTTTGTTTCTCTGAATTTACAATTACCTCACGGCATTAACTCACTGGAGATGAGTTTGGCTGAAAGAGACAATATCTGTACTATACTTGTTTTTGAGTTAAAGAATCTTGCTGAAATCAGAATTAAGGCATTCTATGATGCTGTGTAATTTATATAAGAAATGACGCTTTCCTTTGTGTTTAAAAAATAATAATAAAAAGAGGGGAGAAAAAAAATCTCCCTGACAACCTAAACCACAAATACCTTTTTTCAGCAGAAACCTTGGGTTCACAGTGTGCTGGTAGATTCTGCCTTAACATTTGCTTCTGCACATCAGGAATGACTGTTCTTCATATTAGCTGTATGTGGGTGTAGCAAGCCTGTGTTTTCTAATTATACTGTTAGCTCCATGACTCAGCCACGTGTTAACCCTGTCCCCTTTTGTTGGGAGGTGTACTCCTCAAGCAGCCAGTGCTGAACACAGGAGCATAGCGAGGAAACTTGGAGTGTATGCTTTTGTCAAAACCCAATTTCTCTGAATGTGAACCTAACCTCCACATGTTAACAAATGCATGAAATATAGGGAATGTAGGAAATAAAATTTACAGCTCATAAAGGGAAGACTGCTTAGCTTTCTTAGGTTTTGAAATCGATGCTGTAATCAGTGTAATCAATTCCATGGTAAGTATAAATAAATGTCTCCTCTGGGGTGGAAAGAGGAACTAGCCAACATGATTTTGCCAAAAAATATCAACCACCAAAGGGGTTTTAAAGTCCTAAGAACGTAGGAACTTTAAAGTTTGGACCTCCTGCCAAAGAGATGACTCCTTACTCTCTTCCAGAAGCATCTTAAATATGAGTGTCTAGATAAAATATTCACACTTCATCTTCTCTTCCGTTACTGCTGTAAGGCCTAATGCTTTAAGCATTTTAGTTACTGATTAAGAGAATAGTTACCTACCTCTTCAATTGTTAGGTTTTTGTCTGGCCCTGTTAGATAGGGGGTGAGAAAAGATTCTGATGGCCTCATTGTGGTGAAAAATCCATTTGCACAGATGATCACCGTGGGATAAATCCAGCTGTGGCTTACGGGACCCTTCCAGCAATCCATAGTCTACCTAAACAAAAAAAAAAGTGTCAAAGGAAGAATAGATGTTCTTCACAGTTGGTAAAAATTAATTTTCAAGTTTACTTGTTACTAAACCTGCACTCACTCCCCTGAAGCTGTAACCACCAATGAGGGCGGTGGCATGCAGTGTGACTGGACTTTAGGGGATGGGTGGCAGTGACAGCCAAGGGCTGCCTGCAGAGGTGACTCTGATGTCTGGCTGGTGTGCAGATGTAACCAAACCACTGATCTCAAGCTCTCCTGCACTGATCTGCACACCTGGATCTCCTCTTAGGCAGGGATACCTCTCACAGTTACTCCTGAGGCTGAGACTCCTCTGCAGCACATTCTTAGTAAGTGACTAACAGGGTGCTCAGCCTTGAAACCTCGACTAAGTCATATAAAGAACTTATTGCACATACTGCATGATCTTTTAGATGGAAGCAGTTGACCAAATCTGAGACTAGGAGTGGGTCTAAGCTGCACCCAGGATCCTCTCTGAGAGGAGTTTAGAACCCAGACTTAGCTGGAGGGTCCCTCTGACAGTTTTACCTGATCCTGTAGTCTCTGCACTAAGTCAAGCACACCTTGCTGTTGAGTCTTGTTTAACCACTGTCACATTTCCCACTGAACTTTGTTATATTGATAAAGGGCATTGTTGCTTCTGCCTTGTGAGTGGAGCGTGTGGCTCCAGCTGTGTCGTGTACCTCCCCTCCCTGAACCTGCCTGGCATCACAGCTGCAGCTTGTGAACGAGCAACTGGGATCAAGGTGCATCAGCCCTGCTGACCTCTATTGCCTGTCAAAGGTTGTTCATAGTGATGTGCTTAGGGCTGAGTGCTGTGCTGTAGCAGGAGAATAAAGTTCCATTAGTCTCATTTCTGAATAAATGAGTGGGTGAAGTGTGAGATTGAAGCTCATTCTCTTTGCTCAAGGAGGTTTTTTGTGTTGATTTGCAGCCTGAGTACCCAATGACACAATGACTGTGCAAGCATTCTTGATGGCAATAAAAACCATCAGGCACCTCAACCCATTGCAACCTCAGTTTCTTCAAAATGCTTTAACATTCACTGTGTTTCTTGCACTCCAGTCGTTGGAGAGGGTAAAGGAAGATGCAGAAACTATCTGCTCATGGTACCTGACCAGACTTAGAATAGAGAATTATTGACTTAATTTTTGAAAGTGATGACCAAAAGGAAAAAGAGGTTTGTTTCTTCAGTGTAGTTAGCAGCAAATAGACGTCTAAAGAGATTTGGTTTAAGTTTATTTTACTTGTTTTGTATTAAAAAGTCAATTTCACTGGTCCTGAAAGCAAGTGAAACAGTGTTTTCAATCACAAGCAAATGAAAGCAAAGCATTAGCTGATGTTTAATCATGCTGCTACAAGCTGTGTATCTTAAATTCCACTTGAAAAAGTGCCTGCTATCAAAAGTGCTTCTACTTGCACTGAGATAGTATTCATTAAAACTTAGTATAAATCATATATTATAAAGACAATATTTCTGTTAGAAAAAGCAGATATAACCTTGTAACTTGGTTTTTAAAAATTGCCTCTCTCATCTTTCTCTTAAAAATAATTGTAAATAAAATATAATCTTTAGTATCTTCAAATCAAGACCTTATTTGCAATGTGATAAAAATATAAAAATTAAGCCCTGGGCTGATCAGTAACATCTGCATAAATCTTGCATCACCTCCAAATGCACTGAGCAAGTGAGTAGCCAGCACGTTCCCAAATAACTCCAGAAGTGATGAATTACCTGTCAAGGCTCTGGCTGTGGTGTATTTCCTGTGGATTCAGGTGCAGTTCTTCCTAGGATGACTTTTGTCTTGCAGAGAAGTCAGAAACCACCCTTTAGAGCTGGTGGTAGTCAGAAATTTCTGTAACTTTTTTTTCTAAAAAGTTCTTTCTAAACTTGATAAAATGTTATCAGAATTTAAATAATAATAATAATAACAACTTGTCATAGCTATTCTTTCTTGCAGAACTTGTCCATGAAGATTGCAGGGAAAAGTGTTCTTTACGGGTTTTGTTAGCAAACTGAGTTCTATTTTTAAGATAAAACTATAAGACTCAAAGTAGCTAATGATTAATAAAACCTGTTGTGACAAGAAAGTAATGATTGCATTCTTTCTGTTAATAAATACCTTTACAAGCTCTGGTCTCTGATTCATGGAAAGACAGAGCACCAGTTTTACAGTTTGGGCTAACAATGTCCCTTTCCTGTGCAGAGCACAGAGGCCTCTGGGCTAGTGGGGTCTGCTCTGGCTGTCCTGGTTTTACTGGGGCTTTGGGAGGTAGGACATCAAATGCTTCCTAGTATTGGTTGGCCAGGAATTACTTCTGCATAGGGGCAGATCTGCCATTTAAGGACAAATTGATGAAATTAAACTGCTAAATCTAGGTTCTAAGCTAAAAAATTAACAGGCTTGCTTCAGAGAAATGCTGCTGCTTTGCTTTCCTTTTCCCTTTTTTTTTTTTTTTAGACTGTGCTGCCTGCATCTTCCAAGGCTCATCAGAGGCTGGAGTTCACCCTGAAGCCTGTTGGTAGGACGTGTATTGACCCTGGGAGCAGATGCTGAGGCCCTGGCAGGAGGGGCCCTTTGTGAGCTCAACAGAGCCTGCTCTGGTTCTGCAGGTATGGGAGGTTCCCTCGTGCTCAGGTGTGTGCTGCAGCCAGGCAGGCACGTGCTCAGGGAAGCCAGGCCTGCCTCTGCCCTCCATCCTCTTCCCTGGCCAAGGGCTTCTGAGGCAGGGAGAGAACCTTGGGAAGGGAAAGTGCTGCTGGGCAGGGGCTGAAAGGGGCTGCTGGCTTGTGTTTCTCCAGTAGCCCACACAGTGTTTGGGCAATATCTGCATGCTTTGAATACAAACACACTATTTATTCCTTCCTTGTTTGCTCAAACTGGTCTTTATCAGCTTGCTGGACTGTATCTTCACGGAAGACTTGTGCCCAAACCCACTAATGTTTCAAAGGTAATTAGTGGTGCATTTAGCGGGGGTTGCAGCTATGGGGAGGAATGTGCCTGGCTCTAGAGTTCCATGTTTGCATGGAAACCTTTAATGCACTGGAAGAAAGACAAACAATATTAAAAGCTGCTAGGAGAGGTGGATGTGATGAGAATTTCCTTCTCCCGTGGAACTAGACAGCCTGTGGTTCCAGCCTTCCTTGTAACCTGCCAAGTCTCAACTATTTCCTCTCCAGAGTGTATGTGTGTGCAGGTACAGAAACACACAGGTACATGTGTACACCTTACTCTTTTAGAAACCTCTGATTGCTGGGTGAGTTCTGATTTGCAGCTGAAAACCCAGGATAACAAGGCCTTGTCTTTCTCCTCTTACACCCCTAAGAGCTGCGTTCATCCTCCTCTATTTCCCCCACAATGCTTCCTGCCACCTTCCAGCCTCAGAATCATTATTTTGGAGAATAGGAATGGATTCTTTTTTCTTTAAAGTTTTATCTGCTTTCTGAAGATGGTTTTCTCTAAAGCTGCAAGCCAAATACATTGTATCTGCTTGGTTCCTGTGCTCTTCAGTGGCATCCTACAGACAGAGCATTTAGCTCTAGCCAGAACATAAGAATGGAGCTGAAAATATGAATCTTATAATTAAAACATGAACTCTTGTTAACTTCCAGTGAGGGACTGACGTCTAGTTCTAAACTGAATGCCTCAAAAGAAGACTGCTGCTCACAAGGAAGAATAAAAAAAAATAGTCCTTGCTCTCCTGGATTCTGTCCCTCTTTCTTCAGGCAGGAGCATCATGCCCTCAGTTCTGCAGTAAAAAAATAATTCTTACTGTAGACTAAGTACATCTCCCACTTTTATGACTGCATAGGTTAAACTGTTCTGCTTAGAGCCATTTTACAACAGACAATGACCCCACAATGCACAGTATTAAACAAAAAGCCTAAAAAAATTAGCCAGGTTCATTTTGTCAGATCCTACTATTTCTTCTTGTGACTTGAAACAAATTGCTTCTGTCCTGCCTGCCCTCGCCTCTGGGCACTTTGTCTAGTTGCAGTGTGTGACAGTCGTATGAAAAGCTGATATGTCTGTAAAAATGATAGCTTGTGTCTCTACAGAAAAAATATTATTCTGTAAATGCTAAGTGTTTTTTATTAGTTAGATGTAGATATTGGAAGCTAGAAGCAAACAGCAGTACAGAAATAACTTCAGCATATGGATATAGCTTATATTAAATTAGACATTCACTATGCAAACTGGTTTCTAGTCTCTTTTTTCTTCTCCTGGACTGTCTTTTGGACTAAATTAGCTGTAGGACTTGAAGCTTCTTGACAAACTGAGATGCTGATCCTGTCAAATTCTTGGCCAAGATCAGTGGCACTCAAAAGTACACATGATGCTTACTGTTTGTTTCAGTTATTAATCTTCTTGGATATTTCTGTTAATCTGGAATTTTCCTGTGTGGAATCAGCTTTATTTCTCCACATTGTCCTTCTCTGGTTTTAGTCTGTGCTAGTTAAGCCCCGTCATATTATTTCTTTTTCCTGCTGAAAGAGGAAGACAGTCAGTCGTGAATTTAATTTTACTGGAAGCACAAGCAAAGGAGTGGTGGTTTGCATTTTGCTTGGACTCTGAAGTTATTCCTCTCAGCAGAGGTTGCTGTGAAATCAGCACAGAGTTTGTAGCTCTCAAATGTGGGCCAAGCAACAACTGTGACGTAGCAGTGCTGCAGTGAAGCTCCTGGGATGGGTTGTGCAAGCCCTGCTTTTTGCAGCCTGTGTGGGATGAGACAGGAGGAGCCTGTCCCCCATCTGCCTATACTGGGTATGAAAGAATAGAATGATGCGAACGTGATCTTTTCCTCCTTGGTTCAGAGCAAAGGCTGTGCAAAGGGGAGTCAGACCTTCAACCACTGCATCAGCAAATGTGACAGAAGCAGCTTTGGCAGCACCACATTCAGGAGCTACAATGAACAAGGCAGGGTGAACTCTGCTCTCTGCCATTGTGCATGGGGAGATGCAAATGTGATTCTGTGTATAAATTACTGCCCTTAAGATCTTTATACGCATGAAAATAAGAATCTAAAGCAACTTATCTTTTATTTTTGGCACAGTGCCATTCTGGAGAGCTCTCTGCTGGCATATGTTGTGCTGAAGTGCTGGAATGATTCAGAGTAGCTTTTCAGGGCTGAGTTGAACGTTCTTCTTGCACTGCTCTTCCCTGCATGCTGCTCTTCATCCCTGCTGAGAGCCCTTCTCCCAAGAGAAGCCCTTCTCCAGCCTGCCTGCCTCCTACAGCCGTGTCATGTAGCTTGTGACAATCTGCTCTCTTGACTCATGCTCGGCCTGGTTCAGCTTCTCTGTGCAAGATCTCACTATTTTCCTTTGGCATTTGCATGAGACCAGCACACAAATGCTTCTGATCATGAAAATCCCATGTATGACTGTGAAGTAGCTGCCATAAATTAAAAACTGTGAGAGGAGGAGAAAAAGGCAGAACAATTAATGAAAAACACATTAGAGGAATGCTGCCTCTTCTGAAGATGACAGTCACAGATTTTCTTTACTTGTGTTCTGGCAGTTTCTCTAAGCTTGGGTTTTTGCTTTGTGATTAAGCAAAATCTCAGCTTTTCAAGTTTACAGCAAATACTTGTGAAATGAAGAACTGCCCCTTCCATTCCTTATGTCTTTGAATAAACGTCAGAGGGGAGAGGGATAAAAACATGATTATTTTTTCTATTAGTGCAAAATGTAGAAGTAGTTTCGTTACCCACATGGTCATGAATAATCTGTGTGAAGAGCCTGAGTTCATCCTTGTTTTGCTTTTGCAGTTTTCAATAACTGTCAACGGCTTCAGTAAATACACTGTGATTTCACTGTGATTTTATATCAGTATTTCCAACAACAATGGCAAGACTATTTATGAAGTCTTACATATTCCTGTCTTTAATTTTAAAGATTTAATGTTTGATTCAATCTTTACTCTTTCAAAGTCGCTTTTGCCTTCTCTGTGCAGAGTGTGAATAGCTTTAGTCTTCTTCAGACCCGTTCGAGTAGAAAGCTGCCCCAGCTGAGAGCCCATTTGAGAAAATGCAGAAGTCAGTAGGTTTCGATTGACTGAAGTTAGGGACACAGCTGTGAGATAGGATATCCCATCCCAAATAAAGTACCCAAGCTATGGGCAGAAGACTCTATTGTACATGTTGAGAAACAGACCAACAGTTTGCTCCTGAGCTGGAATTAGAAGTTACTTGAGCTGAAATAACTTAAATAATCCAAGCTGTGCCTCATAGTCCTGAACTCCCATTCTGTATCTGACAAAACCAGTCTGAGCTTTTGGGAAGAGAGCATGTCGTTCAGTGTCCTATTAACTACTAAAACTGGTCAGATAGCAGAGCTTGGTTTGTTATGTTCTGGTGTATCTCCCTTTAAAAAGTCACAGAGCAGCATCTGTAATCCTAAATGCATTAAAAAGCAAAAGGGAAGAATGACAACAAATGATGAATGATGATGAAGAATGACGAGGGAAGAACAAGATGTCTGGATTTATATAGAGGAAGGGTAATTAAGTTATGTCCTTTGGCATAGGAATTTTGAAGATGGCTTGGCTGAGCAGTAAATAGGAAGTAAGGTAACTGCACTTACTTGAGTCACTATGTCCAGTCCCAGGCCTCTTGAATCTACAACAATTATTGTGAGAATGGTCTGAATCAGCAGGGCAATGAAGTTGTTGAATCCAAACATCAGGGCATAGCGTTCCATGCTCAGATTGACAGCGATCTGGAACCTAACAGGAAGCTGGCAGGTCAGTCACTTCCCACTGGGAAAGCTATTGCTGTCTATCAGTCAATGAAGAGAAAATGATTCATGGAGATGGTGCATCAAGGGCAGAGGAAATGGTGCTTCATTTGTTTATTTGCTTCCTTGCTTTCTCTAAAAAAATCAAAACATCTGGAGTACCATAGTGTATTTCAATGCTTTTTGAACTGCAAGGGCTACTTTTCTAACCCCTAAGAATGTCAATTCTCTGTACCCTTCCCCTTTGTTCCTTCTCTGCCTGCACAGACTGTGCCAGACAGGCTGTAAAGAGTCCATGACTGGAAGCTTTCAGAGACCTGGCCAGGCAAAGCTGTGACTTGCTCTGGCACTGGAAGCAGTTCTGCCCTGCCTGGGAGGTCACTGTGGGTATCTTCTAATCAAGGTTTCTGTGGTGACGAGTCACGTTTTGCTTTGTGATTTGACAGTGGAGGTAACATGCTGTTTATTTCTGTCAAGAGCCTGTAGACTTTTACTTACAATATCTCTTTTGAAAATAATCAGAACATCTTTCCTTGCAATATATACCTGCAAACTTTTTATACAAACAAAAGGGTGTTATTCCTTCAGGACTCATTTTCAATTATTTTAGCTTGGGAGTTTTTTGCAAGATTTTACTTTGTTGGGGATTTTTTAGAATACATTGAAATAGTCCAGGTGTAATTCAATATAAAGTAGTAACAATCAACCAAAATGACAATTAAGAGCTCACTTGACTTCCTTCAAGATGGGCATAACCTTATCATGCATTATAAATTTAGCAATTTTTTAAAATGGTATCTGATTAATTTTGGAGTTTGACACAAATTGCAGCCAATATTTTTGTTAATGAAATAGTGCCGTATGTCTAAAGACATTCCAAGCAAGAAAATGACTGGAGCAAAAACATTTTATATTTATTACACAGGATAAAATATTTGTTATTAATATTATTTATACCTTTCTATTTCTGACAACAGAATAGCTTGGCCTCTTATGAGATCTCATTTTTTATATGTCTGATGTTCCCTTTTATTTCTTTTCTACATCTTAATATCATTAATGATTCTATGTATAAAATTATGTTGGGGAACACTCTGTGTGGAGTCTTTTCCTGCATTCATGCAGTTCATGGCATGCTGAAAGGTTTATCAGTAGGGGGTCTAAGCATATGGTGATCCTAAAGGATGGCTGTCAAGGTATGCTTGTCCCTGTTGTGCAGTTTTCATCTTTCATGCCAGAAAGGAGGAAGATGGCTTCTACATTTTGCTGTTACCATTGCCTTTAGTAATAACATTACCTTGTACCTTGTTTAATTTCTGCTTGAATGTTTGATGCTGTTTTGACAATTTTTCTTTCCTGGTTGTTTGGAAGAATGAAAGCAACATAACCAGACATTTAAGTGTCCTTGTCCTTACCTAAACAGTTATGTTTAGTATTAGGTCAGCTACCGCTGAGGAAAGGGATGCAAAAAGCAAACTCAAAGCAGAGTCGGTATCCTGTGCATGATGGCAGCATTGTGATGTTTGGTACTTACGTTGCAATTGTCAGAAGGAGCACATAGCATGCCTTGAAAATGAGATATCCAGCATAACATGCCCAGATGTTGGTAGAGAAGTGCATGAGAAACAGACAACCGGCATCTATTGCAGAGAAGATTCCTAAAGCCAGTTCTCCAAAATGGTCCCAGTTAATCTTCATATATTGTACTAGGAAAGATGTTACTGAGCCTAGAAAAAGAGAAAAAATATGAGTAAATTTTGTATCTGTTCCATAGCCTGTATGACCAAGCCTTACCATGTTCACATGCTGAAAGGCAATGCTGAATAATGAAGCAGAGAAGTCTGAATTTTGAAAGCATTTCTGATGACTTCTGCAGCTGTGCAGTCATCTAAAGACAATTGCATATATCAAGTCTCTACCATTCCGTTCTTAGTGTTTAATTCCACTTCACAGGATAAACTGTAATGTAGAAGGATTATTTAGGTGTCTGTACACATCTTGTGTCTCTGGGGAGAGAATTAGGAACATGGTTTGGAGTTCAAGAAAGAAATTCTTTTCACCTTCTCCTAGCTCACTGCACAGCTAGGCTACTAAGCCTTCTATTGTAACAGTTTAGCTCTGTGCACTTCATAGAGGGGGTAAATTGTAAAAAATTAATTTCAGGGCATCCAAGGAACGAGAAAGGATAGGTTTGCTTTTAGTGGGCCTCCTAAATGATGCATCTCTTGCAAAGATAAGACACCTGCCTATCTTAGGGGTCCCAGACAATTAAAAAACTTCTATACTTATACACTGAGAAACAAGCAAGTCCACCAGGGAGAAAAATTCATCAAGGAGTAGATGGGAGGGCTTCTAGTTCATTATTCACTTGGTCTATTTAGTTGTGTACTGCAAGAGTAGTATCTGTTTTTCCTTAATGACTGTAAGGTTGACTTGAATGACCGGTGTGGTGCAGATGTGTTTATTTTTCCTGGTAGGACACGCCCCCACGTCTTGTGCAAGTTCTTTGCAATAGCACAATGTGAGGCAAGCAGGGTGGTATCCTCTGATGTTACCTTTTGATAACCTCACTTTGTTTGTGTGGTAATGAGCATCTGCTCGTGGTACCAAAGTGGAATGGTTCACATCAGTATCGTAAGGATTCATAGGGTCCTTTTTTCCATGAAAATCTTTGTATCTTGCAATGACTAAAATTTTTCTTTTTGTCTGGTTGCACAAGGGTATTTCACTAGAAAAGTATCTTAATAGGAAGATTATGTTCTTTTTGTGTAAAATTTTATGGAAAACTTCTCTCGTCTGTGTAAGGTGATAGCATTGTATGGGAACAGTGCAATACTTGTTCTGGGAAAAAAAAAACCACCCAATAGCCTCATCCAGAAAAACGGGGTGCTTCTGAATGGATTTACCAGCTAGATGCAATGTCTGTGTGACTTGCAGTCTTTCTGCATACTGGTAAGATACAGTTATTTGTCTAGTACTAAAGAAAAACCAACAGAACTCACATTTGAACTGCTGTACATCAAAGACTTAGGTCTGGACTGCACAGGGTGTGCACTGGCTCCCTGGAGCGCCTGCAATGGAATGGCACTTTGAAAGTTTACTAAAGTGAAACTTCAGAGGCTGCCATTGTGATCAATGTTTAAACATTGACTTACTCAGAAACATCGCTATAGCTTCGACAGCTCCGTTGTACACTGCAGAGCTGTGGGAGGGGGCTCGCAAGTCCCACAGCACCTGGACATAATTCACCACCTGGTTAAAGCCGGCCGTGGCCAGAGCCCACCACAGGGACCAGTAGAGGAGTTTTCGGGAGCCGTAGCAATCCCTCAGGTCCCTGCCCAGCTGCAGCAGCACGTTGAGCATGTGCCCCTGGGGCCTGGCATTGCCGGGCTGGGGCTGGGGGCTCGGGGCCCCGGCAGCAGCCTCGGGGCTCCTTTCCTCCGGGCAGCTCGAGGGCCTGGGGGCAGCAGCCGCAGGCAGCCCTTTATCAGGGCCTGGCAGAGGCTCAGGGGCATCCTTCCTGTGGAAGAACATGCTCCTCTGGGGCATGGGCAGGAAGAATGCGCACAGGAATGCCAGGGACACGGAAGCCAAGGTCATGGCGTTGAGGTAGAAGTAGGAGACGTTTGCCAAGGACACCAGCAGCTGTCCCAGCACGGCGGCCACGGTGGCTGCCACCAGCGTGACACTCCTGCAGTAGCTGGTGACCCTCTGGTAGTGCTGGGTGCTGACCACGCTGTAGATGTAGGCGTAGTAGGCCACCTCGGTGGCTGTGACCATGCCATAGAAGAACTCCACCACCTGCATGGCCACCACTCCGTGTGCAAAGAGCAGCAGGAGCCAGGTGACGATGAGGCTGGTGCCCTGCAGGAGCAGCACGGGCTTGTAGCGCACGTAGTCTGTGAGCAGGAACACTGGGAAAAGGAGAGCGAGGTAGGAGTATGTCCAAACTGGCAGAACCTGGTTGGTAACCTGGAACAGAAGAGGGAATGTCAGTGTTTTTATTGTTGAGGAAAGGAAGTTCATGTATTTTAAATGGTGTTGTAGAGGCAAGTTTTTTCTCTGAAGGAATTCATAAAATATATAACCACATTGAATCGGCGTGGGACTGTTGGGCAGGCAAATGGATCTTAGATCCATTAAACGGATCTTTTATTTATGCAGTCTGCTGCAAATTGCAACCTGCCAGAACTGGTTAAAGTTGTGCTTTTTTTTTTCTTTTAATCTTTAAAAAAAACTTTAAACAGTGTTTTCCCTTTCTATTTTCACTACTTCAATTAAAATAAATTGTAGAATAAAATTATACCTCATCTATGGTCAGGTTTTTATCTGGTCCTGTTAGATAGGGTGTTAAGAAAGGTTCTGATGGTTTCATCATGTAGAAGAATCCATAGAGGCAGAGGATCAGGGTGGGAAAAGCCCAGGTGTTGGTTTTCTCTTGCTTCCAGCAGCCCATGGCCTCTGAGCAAAGCTGAGGAGAAAATTTGTTAGAATAATGATACCGCCCATGCAAGTGCAAAGAGATTTTGCAATTAATTTTTATTTTGTTGTTTCTAATGCCAAAGAGTGCTCTTTAGAGGCTGACAGTTCAAAATCATTTTTATTTATAATGTTAAAGTGAACAGCTATTCCTTACATTTGTCTGCTCCTCTTTTTGTAGAAAGTGCATAAAAAATGAATTGGAAGATCCTTAACTGGGAGACAAATGTCCCTGTCATTCCATCTGCACTGACCAAGATAAACACAGGAAAAGCCTTTCTAGATAGAAGTGGTTGGAGACAGCTGAGCACTGGGATTTCTCTCAACGCTGTTACTGATCACAGCCAAGCACCTGGTTGAATGACAGGGATAACTATGGAGCCTAGCAGATGGGAGCTGCTAGTAAATACAGAAAAGATGTCAAGCTTGACTCCCATCTGGAATTATCTGCATAAGAAGTCCATTTTGGATAAAGACATCATATTTTCCATTTATAAAAGTGGCCACAGAAGGTTAACAGTCCATGCTCAAATGAAATGAACCAGATATTTTTGTTCTTGTCACTAGGTAAAGTGATGGAATAAATTAAGATTTTCAACTCTGTGGGCCAGAGCCCAAACAGAAGCCAAAATGGGTGTAATGGGGGCATGTAAAGGAAATAGACAGTAAGTTAATACCCATATTCATGTTAGTATAGGCAAGGTCAAGAGTATTAATGTGTGCAGTTTATCTTTTGGAGCCCTTTGGAGTTTGCATATTAGCAGGTGGGATTTCTATTACTCTGCTTTTAACTTTTATCTACTTCCCTCCTGATAACTTTTTTTTTAGGGAAAAAATGAATCTTACAAAAATTTTAAAAATGAAGTAGTACTTTTTCACAAACTTTTTTGTAAAGTCCGTTCAGCCCAAACCAGTCATGTCCTGATGAGTACATCACTCCAGGTGGGATGGGCAGAGGATCCTTTTTTATAGGATATGATATGTTTACAGCAGTAGGCATTATGAATCTTCTTTTGTAACTTCATGACAGCACATTTTACTGACAGCCTGGGCTAAAAGCATGGGCATGACAGTATTTCCAGCAGAAACGAACCCAGCTCTGTGTCAGCTCTGCAGTGTGAACCACTAGATGGCAAGGTGACCCCAGCAAGACAAAACGAGCTCGGCAGGATTGTGAGACACTGAGTGCTGCAGGAAGGAAGCATTTCTGCCCCTCCTTCCTCCCCAGCTGTTGTAACATCAGTCTGCTGCAAACGTGGCTTTGGCAGGACCAGTTTGGGCCCTGCCCAGGATCGTGCTCACTGAGTCATCATAGTATCCCCTGGCTCTCACGTGGTAATCATTAAAGCCATACAGCACCCCAGTGCCATGGGAATGCTTTGAGTGATTCTGAGAAAGGCATTGGGAAGAGTGGGGTGGAGAGCATCTTTAGCACTGTAATGAGAAACATTTGTACAAGTCAGCTTTGGGACTTAGCCAGGGCATGTATTTCCCTTCCCAGCCTAGATTCTCTGCTCTGCTCTGTTTCAGTCTTACGCTGTTTGCCCACACCCCAGCAGGCTGTGTCACACAAGGGCAGCAAGTCTCATGTAGCCTGTCAAAATGTCCCATACCTTGCGAGGTGAGTGGGGCAAGCTGCTGCCTCTGCAGGGCTCACAGGGGGCTTGTGTTGCCCGTCGGATGCTGCCCATGGCGGCAGGGCTTTGCCAGCCTGCGCAGGAATTCATGGTTTCAGCTGTACACAGAACTTCAGGTGTGCCCTGGCTCACTGCATCCCTACAGTGCCAGCACATGCACTGTTTAGGGTTTTGGGCTAGACCTGCACCTCTAATCTGCTCTTTTACTCTTTGAGGTGCCAGTTAGGCTGGTAGGGAAAGTCAGGTGACAAGTTTCCCACATGATATAAGGAGCTGTGCAGAAAAAAGCCCGTCATTGGTGCTGAGCTGGGAAGGGCAGTGGGCTGAGGGCTCTCAGGAGTAGCCCACTCTGCCTTTGGGGAGTGGGAGATGGTGTCACCTCACCTACCCTGGGGTTTGTGCTCCACTCTCACCCCAGCCCTTGGCCAGCAGTGAACCCCTTCCAGCTCTGCAGCTGCTGTACGAGCCCTCTTTTCTGTATTCAGAACCACAAACCTCTGACAACCAGAGCTCTCTCTTGGTGCTTGAGGGGGAAGGATCCAATTTGTTCCCGATTCAGTCATCCCATGTGGTCAATTTGTCTTTTATAAATCTAGGTTTTTGTTCACCTTTGAAGAGATTTTAGGATGCCTTGGTGGTGTTCTGCAACAAAACAATCCTCTGTTTCTTTTTTCCTTCAGCAATTCTTGGTGTCTTCTACACACAGCCTAACACAGCCCCCCAGCTCCCCACTGGATTGTTCTCTTCTTTTCCCCCCACTTTCCCTTGTCATTGAAGGATTTCATATTTCTAAAGTTCGTATATAATCATACCTTCTGTGCAGGAGCTCTTCCTTTCTTACTTCCAAGGGAAAAGCCTCCTTTTAGTGTTCCCAATCTTACTTCTGGTTGTCCTGTGTGTATTGCAACTACTGGAATCTGGGTTTTGTGCTTTTGCTGCTCTTCTGGTACTACAGCTTGCTCTGACACCTCCTTTGGAATGGCTGGAAAGCCAGCCTCCAGCTGGCTTGCTTTCAGCACCCTTAAAGGAACAGCCCGACAATCCTGGCTTGTCTTTGCCCCAAGGCAGCAATGAATCAAGACCCAAACCGCAGTTTAGTGCCTGACTGGCACAAAATCAATAGAGGTAGCTCTGTACCCAAAGAATATTGGGTCAATTTGACAGGATATGTGGCTTGGGAGCAATCTGTGCCTCAAACTGGCCTATATTAAAGAGGGAGCAGTAGCTGTGCATGGGTAGGTGAGGGCCAGCAAATACCACTGCTGTAAGGTTGGAATGTATCCACACCACTCACGTGGGGGTTCAAACTATTCTGAAAAATTTAAAAGGTAAAAAGTAAAACACCCTGCTCTGCTTCCTCTTGACTTATTTGCTGGCAAATTTGTCAGGATCATCCACTCCCTCCTCCTCACAGGACTATCTCAAACTGAACCATGTGACTCACGGTACATCATCCTGACACTCCTTAAATGCTGGCAACTTCTGTAATGTACGTGAAACTAACACATGGAAGGAATGTAATAATTCCTTTGGGCCCTTTCCCAGCCATCAGTCATTGTCTGACACTGATCCCAGAGTTATCTTGGTTCTGCCTGTTCTATTGACCCTGTAGCTATAGGAGGTGGCAGCTCCTCTGAAAGAACACTGAGTATACCTGCATTTGGTTTTATTCGCATGAACTCTTGCTAAACCGCAGAGAACTCTTGAGGGAAACTGTGTTATTTGGGGTTTGCATTGACTTGCTGAACAATCCAACTCAAATTTCTTTACACTAAGAAAACTGCAAAATTCTGTTTTTCCTGTAATGCCATAATGAGAATGATTTAAGTAACTTCCATGTATTGATGTTTGGTTTCTCTGCTTTCAGATCCTCTTTTATCCTTTATTATCTCTTCTTTCCCATAGTCTTCAATCCATCTTGTTTGTAGTTAAAATGTCATGCTTTTTCACCAATTCTCTTCTGAATGCCAAATGGAAGACTGTAAAACTGTGATGAGCTTATGCACGTTTTTGGTCAACTTGAGCCCTATGCTATAAGCTGTCTGCAGCAGAGCTTGGCTGCTGGGTTTGAAGAGCTTTTCACAAAGTAGTCAGATGTAGAAGTGTTCTGCTTGGAGGGTGGGCTGGGAGATCTGTTTCTAGCTAACATCCCAATTCTGTTCAGTTGGGAAAGGGAAGATTCTGAAAGAGTGGAGGAAAGGTGAGTTTTATGGTAGTAGTGTAGTCTGAAGAGTTAATCTAATATGGTCTCTAATGAATCAAGGAGATAGGAAAGTTCTGAGAGGGGAAGGAAGGCAATAAAAGAACAAGGCTGCAAACCTTTGTCATCCTCATACTGTCTCCTGCCTCTCCTGCCTCTGCTGCCTCTTGGGCTCAATCCGATATTACCTCTGGTGCTTCACAGGCTGAAAGATCACCAAGGCTGAAAGACTCATTGGCACTGTGAGGTGATTCTCTGGTTGGGCACTGACTTTCAGCTCTCAAATTCACAACTGCACTTTCTGATTTATGGATGAGGTGATCTTTATCTTTTCTCATGTACAGCATTCTCACTGTGGGAATGAGCTGCTTTCTGCAGTCTGGCCCTGAATCCCACAGTGTGTGGGTGAGATTTTCCATAACTTGCTTTTCAGCTGAATCTTACCATGTGTTCCTAAGGTGGCAAGACATTCACATCCTGGGCTCAGCTGCTTTTCATCTGAGACACAAAACTGAATAAGCAACGTTTAGTTTGGGATATTTAGCTAGAAGGTACTAAGGGATTACTCCAAGGGGTAGGTTAGGAAATACATTCAACCAAACTAACATTTCAGGTATTTGGTTTAAATGTACACTTACAGCTGCTTCCTAACTAAAGAGTAATGCTGTAAGGCTATTTTTCACTATGCTGTAACTTACCTAAGGATAATGCCCACACTTTTTATCTATTAGCTCTTCTTAACTCTTGTCACTGGAGTGCCCTTTGCCACTGGCACTGTGCAGGGTAGTGGCTGCTGGCAGCAGTGTAGAAGCTGGAACAAACACCTTTGCCATTAATCATCACCCTGAGACAGTTTGAAGAGGGGTTAACTCTTTTTTCTTACAGGCAGCATCTTTGTAGTGGCACAAACAAGGCTTAGACCTCTTGTTATAATGTGCTTCCAACATGGTATGGGACACATAGAAGTCCTGTGATGAGTTTATAAAGACTGGTTGAACCTACTTTGGCCTGCAGAGCCATAGTTTATGTCCCTTTTGTACACAATGAAGTCTGGGCAAGTGCTGGTTCGAAGGGAGTGATTTACCCTCTTGGTCTCCTCTTACTGGCCAGGGAAAGTTAAGTTGCATTACCTTTCTGCAGTATAAGTCACTGTCTGGTTTGTTTTCTTTTGGTTACAGTTTCATTGCTGAATTCGTTGTAGGTGATCATGGATGTAATTGTAAGAGACTGGGCAAGGAGCATCCAATTACAGTGGGTAATTGGTCTCTTTGGAAGCATTGCCAAGGCTTTACGTGCAACCTTATTTGCATGGCAGTGACCTGCATTGCAGCTCTCTGATTTGCTCTGTGCCTCTTGCAAAAGTCTCTCAGAGACTTTGGAAGGTTTCCAAATTAAGGTGTTTCCTACCATCTGAGGACTGGGTTCGGTTATCTGAGGACTGGGTTGGTTGAACAAGCTTTTACTTTCTCACTCTGACTGGCACAAAGCACAATCTGCTCTCCTAGCTGAGGGGAACAAAGCAGGGAGGTGTTGGAAGGTGGAGAAAATCTTTCTGTTGCATTCAATGAACATAACAGAAGAACAGGAAGACTTACAGAAGAGCAGGTTATACCTTAAGTAGGTCCTTTAGTTTTCCTTATATTTTTATTCTGGATCAATAGAGAACAGGAACGACTCCATTGTCAGTGGAATTCTCTGAGGATTTTCCTTTCTAATAAAATATTATGAGGTAGGTTTGCAGCTGACTTTTGTGCAAGTGCTGACTGTGGCTGGCTGCACTGGGCTCTGGTGTCCCTCTGTCCCCTACACTGTCAGCTCTTCTAATGGCATAGAAGCCATCAGTAGTTAAAGGAAGAACAGCAGTTTTTTGTTTCTTAATGAAGTGGGGAAAGATGATTCTGGCGAGAAACATGGAACATGGTAACAAAATATGAGCAAAAAAGCATTGCTTTCAGGAGATGATGAAGAATATAAAAGACTCCATGAAGCTTCACCTTTAGAATTTCTAACTACAGTTAGAAATAGATGTATGTAAGATACTTATCCCAGCACCAAAAAACCCTCCCCTATCTCCAAATCTGCTACTTGATGATTGGCCAGGTGACTTTAACATCTTATTTGTAATTTTTGCAATAATGCCATACAATCCAATTCAATACTTGTGCTTTAGTCTTTCTTGGATTGCATACTTTTAAAATCTCCAGTTAATTAACAAAAGGAAAGTGACATATAGGTCAACGAAATCTCATCTGAATTGGTTAATACTTGTAGTGACTAATGCTCACTTAACTGTGGTTTGCCAAAGAGAAATGAGAGGAAAAGCCTGAAGGAATTTCTAAGGCACTTTCCATGTTGAAAGATCACTTTCCAGGGTGTGTTCCCCTGTAGATGTAGTCCATAGACCTCCCACTAGTGGCAGATATTGTCCTTTTGTCACAGAAAGACATCTCGTTACAGAGATGCAAATTTATAATTGCACAACCTGTATGTGTAGGAAGTTTCAGCCCAACATGTCCTCTCTACATTTTTTTATCCTCAAGGTGCATCTCATTATAGACGTCATGGGAGACTTTGAACCATTGCAACAGCCCTGCTGGAAGAGCATTTGTCACATTTTCACAAGTTCTCATAACAAGCTGGCTGCTTCATTTAATGCTAAACCTCTAATGACGACTGAAACAGACTTATTTTAAGTCCACTATGCTGCTAGTGTTTGCTTAAATGCAAGAATTCTTGCACTTAAAATGTCCTGAGTTCTTCTATAATACCTTGTTTTCTTGCCAGCTCCAAAGAGGTTTGATCATAGAGTTACTAAAATCCTTAGGGGTTTTGTTTTTGTTTGGTTGGTTGGTTTTTTTCATCAACAGTGTGTTAGGTTTTATCCCTTTGATGAAGAATTTTTTTTTTTTTTTTAAATGTGGTCCAAGTTTTTCTCTATATACCTTCCTGTGAGTTCTTTCAAAGGCAGAGTAGTTACAGTGTATGTGTTGTACCCCGGAGCTCTGGCCCTGGTTCCCATATCCCTCGATGTCCTAGGTTGGGTACAAACACAAATAGAAAAAGGACCAGTCCTTGATCTGAAGAAGGCTGAGCTTAATTACTTGTAAAACACAAGTCACTTTGGAATAGCAGATTTCTGTCAAACCCAAGACAGCTTGACTTAAAACATCTTTTCTGGCTTTAAAACACCTTTTCTCTCTCTGGTTCTTGTCTGG